ACATAATCTAGCTTGATGAATTCTGGAAATGGATGAAATTGCTGCTGGGGTCTTTACTGTAGGGCGAATCCTGTCCATACTGCAGCACTGCATTTCAGAATGAAGTCCGTCCTAGCATTGCAAAGAAAATGGGCCCATGCAGTGAATTCACTCAGGATTTTCAGTGGAATTGTGAGTTTCTTGCTTTGAAATGAGTGTTCTGTTGGCTGTGTTTTTGGTTTGTGTCGTTATCTCGTTTTTAATTCAAACTTTCAGTCTCCTGTCAGCCAGCTGCTCAGGTCGGATGATCCTGTATTTGTCAAGTTTAAGATAGCAGAACATTACCTGGCATAAACTCTCATTGCTGTGATGGTTTTATTTGTTCCTTTGCTTCAAATCGAAACTATCAGAATGTAAAGTGTAGCGTTAGCCAATTAACTCATGCAGGTGAAATTGTCTTCTGAACTTTTTTTTCCCCCCACAACAAATTTCTTATCTCGGGAATGACAAAGTATATGCTTTGTTATTCTGTTGCTTATTTAAAATTATTTAATGCTGAGAAAATCACATTTAATGATTTTTTGGTTAAACAAAAGTCTAAGGAAAGAAAGCGATTGTGCTTTGCTCTCTCGTTTCATTCATGTGTGTTAAGTTGCAGAATTAAACAAAGCCCCACACAGCAGGGGAGGATTTTTTTTTTTAACTGTGCTTTGTTATAACTGTATAGCTATGTATCAGGGAGCCCATTCAACTATTAGTTTGCGCTGCAGTTATTTTATCTTTGGCAAACATTTTCCCCATTGAGCAGCAAGTGTACTCAAACCATGTGATATGATTCAACTGGAAATCAAACATTTTCATTTCCTGATATCCTTTCCTTTTCTTTCCCACATCGTTTGATATAAAGGATTGTATGCTTCCAACTGAGCCAAACCCTTTGACAATAAGGAAGACTAGGGATGATGGGACATTTTTTTAAAAATGTAGACTCTTTTCTCTCATCCCCCCCCCCCCCCGACACTCCACAACCCCATTCCAATAGCTACCAGTACCAAACAATTTGATGACCACTCACAGCAAATGAAAGCTTCGAATAAAATATTTTCTCTAAATTTATACAGGAGTGTAGCCTCTGTTTGAGGTGGAGGAAATACTGCATTATAGCACTACTGTGGACTGGGTGGGCTCCTTCACTATACCATACTTGACATCTTTCCCCCTCCCCACCACCCTTTCCGACATGCACACAAATTATGTTTTCCACCAGGTAATTACAGAACACAGTGTTCTACATTTTTATAGTGCATTTCTTCTCTCAAAGCTCTTGTATTGAATTGCTTAAAATAGAAGCAGCAACCTGAGGCTACTATTGATCTGGATTCATCCTAATTACACTGCGAGGCAGAGTGCCCAACAACATGCACTCGTATAACACTTTTCACAGAAGAAAAGATTTTGCAGGATTGACCAGAGAGAGACGAGGAGGGTGTAAGGTGGGGTGCGGAGTTATGTGGGAAGTGACTGAAGGTGCAGTCAATTAGGTAGGTTTTACAAAAGTTGGTAAAGCTGAGAGGGTGGATACGATACAATACCATATAGACTTGTATAGCACCTTTTGCGTGGGGAGGATGTCCCAAAGCATTTGAGGATTCTTGCTGGGCACCAGAGCTGAGGAGGGAACTGATAACCAAAAGCACAGACATTGAGTCAATGAGACGTACTTTGAAAGAAGGGAAGGAGGGAGCAAGTTGGAAGGATCCAGGATTAGAGTTTCAGAGAGCAGAAGCCGAGTGGTGAAAGCCCACCCAACAGTTGTGGGCGTATGGAGTGGGGGATGCTAGGCAGAGATATTTAGGGAGAGAGTTCCACGGAGCAAGGCAAGGTGTTTGGAAGCTTGCGTGCGACAGCAATTTGGAAATGCCTTGTGTTGCGAACTCATCCATGTGCAGTGCGTTTACACGTTGTGAATCACAACTTCATTTTCTGTGAGGTGAATTTTTGAGGTAGGTCTGTACAGACCACAAATAAAGCTGCATTGGTGGACAGAGTTGAGACGTCGTTGTCCTGTCTCCCTCCCCAAAAACGGCGACATACCACTTGAGACACTTCTTTTAGTTTACTGCCTTCAGCACTCGCCAACCTCTGATTATGGCAGTCTCTTTGCATTCCTGACCTGTGCTTCCAAAGATTGTTATCACTGGTGGCAGAGCTACTGTCATCTAAACATGCTGTAAGAGCCAGCCTGTAGTGCAAATGTGGAGTCCTGTAGTGTATTGGTTAGAGCACTTGCCTCGCAAGTGAGAACCCGGATTTGATTTCCAAGCAGGGTGAAATGTTTGTCAAGTTTCCTTACTCTAGATGCCTCTGTTTACTTAGCAGTGAGTAGGAACCTAGTTGTTAGTCAATTGGCGGATCGCTTTCTGGGGTAATAACCCCTAAAATATTTGGACACTCAATCCACCACTGTTTGTGGGACACTGCTGTGTGCAATTACCTGCCGTATTTCGTCCATTCCGCAAAATATACATTTCACTTTACAGTATATTTTGTGAAGCACTTTGAGATGTCTCAACGATATGATAAGGCACTATATCAAATGCAAGGATTATTATTAATCTGGGGTCACAGGATGAGGAAACATGGAGTGTTCCATATGCTCCGTTGTTAGATTGAAAGGATGACCCAAAATACATTTATTTGATCTTTAAGTGGAGAGGGTGGGGGCGGGGAGAGAACTCAGTTCTAACTTTTTGTCAACAAGAGTTGAGCATCTTATCAACAATAATAGCAATAATTAATAATAATCCTTACATTTGGTCTAGTGCTTTTCTTGTGGGGTGGATATCCCAAAGTCCCTTACAGGATTTACTGCGAAGTGTAGTGTTTTTTTGTCAACTTATTGTCAAACACTGTCTCCTTATCTACCTCCCTACTCCATTCCCATCAAATAATTATTCAATTCCTTCTTGAACCTATCTGCCCAGCTGAGCAATAAAACTCTTAATAGTAAGAAACCTTGCATTTGATATTGCGCATGATCAGGTTGTTAAGACGTGTCCCAAGCACTTTGCAGGATTTATAGTGGATTGACTATGGAAGTATTTGTGGGCAAAATGCAGCAGCCAATTTCTTCTTTAAAAAATCTTCTCAAAATAAAATTTTAAGATGTTCTTTAAAGTCACTCTCTAGATTTCAGGAGAGTGGTGATGGTGGTAATGAAGTAGTGAAGGGGAGAAAGGAGTAGGGTTAAAACCTGGTGTGCATGTGCCTTTGAATACCGTGGTAACCTTTGGAAGAACTCAAACTAGCATTCGTTGTAGTTTTCTGAGCATTAAAGAAACTGACTGAACATTCGGTGTTTTCCACCTGAGTGAGCTTGACTCGAAGACAGCACTGACCTCCATCTGACAAGGAAAAACTTGTTCAATCTTACATTATGCAGGGATTGTCTTTTGATATTAATGTAACCTTTAGAAAACCTTATCTACTTGCAAGAAGGATTAATGCATGAGATGAGACTTCATCACTACAGTATTACTGAAGGTTGTCATTGAATCAGTTGATCTAAATCAAATATTCTTTCTCAATATTAGAATGATTTACATGGCATGCATTGGAGATTTTTTTGTGGACTGAAATTGTGAACATTTTGTAAATCTGGTTACAAAAAAATGTTATTACTATGCTTTCTCCCTCCTCTTTGGTCTTCCTGCGATTCATCTCCTTCATGACTGTCAATGCAAGCCCACACAAACTGATCACTCTCAACCTCAGCCTATTCCCCAGAAGATCGACTAAGATCCTTGTCCTTCCCTTTAAATGCCTCCACAGCCTTACCCCATCCCTATCTCCTTAATCTACTGTCCTGCCCCCTGGCTCTGACAACTCTGACCTGCTTCATCTTCCTCTCTAGACCTTTGGTGGGCAAGCTTACAGCACCTTTTCCCCTGCCAACTGAAACTCTCTCCCTAAATCTCCCTGCCTTGTACCCTACTTCTCTGCTTTCAAAACCAACACTTGAATATGTCTTCACTCCCTTTCCCTTCACCTGGTTCCACAGGTGCTGTTTGTCATCCAGCCTCTTCCTTAGTAATTGTTGTTAGGTGTGAGCCTACATGTTCAGAGTTTGCAGTTAATTTGACCTTTTATAGAGCATCACACAGGCATCGATCCTGTCCTCACATGGTCTATGCACATTCAGACGACAGTGATCTGGGCTGATTTTCCTACTCCCTAACCCATGGATGCTAGTTTGACACACTGTTCCAGTGCAGTGTTGGGGGAGCACTGCATTGTCAGACAGATGAGACATCAAACTGAGATCTAGTCTGCCTGTTCAGCTGGTCCTTAAAGATCCAGAGGCACTATTAAAAAAGAGAAGAGAATTTATCCCAGAGTCCCAACAATCCCCAGATAAAAGTCAGTCACTTCCTGGCTGTTTGTGGAGCATTGCTGTGTGCAAATTGGCTGCTGCAATTTGTCTAAAAATGCAGACACTTCACCAGACATCAATTTCCTGTGTTGTTTTGAGACATTTCAATTGTTAGTAATGCTATGTCAAAGGTAAATATGATGATGATTATCACAACACAATACAAATTTACATTTATATAATAATGCCTTTCAAGTCAGGAGGACACCCCAAGGTGCTGATTACTAAATAAAAAAAACTATGGGACATGGTTAGCACCTGAAGCACGAGATCAGATGCAATGAGTAAGGCAAACCAGATGCTGGACTGTATTAAAAGGGCAATATTGAGTCAAAATAGTGGGCTAATCCTGCTACTTTGCAAATCAGTGGTATATTCTGTGCATTTCTGGTCGACTGCCAGGATGGAGTACTAGATGGACCTTAGTCTTCTTTCGCCTAGAAAATTCTTATGTTCTTATCACTACTCCAGTGTTTTATTAATTCTCAGTTAAAAACTGTCCTTGTGATTGCCTTCAGCACCAGGATCTCAAAGTAAGATACAGTATTGCATAGTTCTAATACTGTAATGCTCTGTTTTATTTCCACAGACCACAGCCATGGAGGAGCTTGTGTGGGAGCAGTATACGGTGACATTACATAAAGTAAGATAACCTTCCCATTTCTTTATCCAGGATTTATATTTAAAACTAAAAATTGTCCGCATTTGCTTTATCGTCATAAAAAAGAATCGGATATTGCTCCCAGATCCAGGCTGATTGGATGAAAGTGTCTTCGCCGCCTGTTGGCTGTGAAATGAGTTTAGGCAGACTCAACACATGTCTTGGAGGACATTGCCTCATAGCAAAAAGCTGACCTTAATTTTGTCCTGAATTGTGAATCTCCGTTAGAAGCTTCAAGACGCCTGGAGAGGATGAGGGAAATTAGTATCAAATGGGAGGGGGAGAGGAAGTCCTGAGGCTGCACAGTGATTTGCTTTTCTCTCTCTGTAGTTATCTGTTTGTTTGTGTGTGTGTATCCCTTCTCTCTCTTTCTCGGGTGTATTTGTGTGTATGCGTGTGTCTGTTTCTCTGTGTTTCTCTTTCCTCCCCCATGAAATGATGTGTGAAGGAGCTTGGTGCAGTTGTGCTTAAGTACTATGTGTTTTACTAACTGCTGAAGAGTTTATTCTCTTTGAAGGGGTTATATTCTCAGGTGGTGTATCTAACCAGTTCGCAATACCCAGCTTTATTGTGGTCGTTGAACATGTTTGAAATAATAATGGAAAGTACCTGAGGTACATTGTAACATTTTCAGCCATCACCAATCAAAAAATAACTCCAGACTAACTAGGAATTATTCTCATGACAATTGGAGGCGGGGGGGGGGGAGGTCTTCCCCCAAATAATTTCAATGCTTATCTACAAAGAAAAGCAGTTACATTTGGCACACTTACGTGAAGATGTTCTGAAGTGCTTGTTTGTTCTCTCTTTCTCTCTAGTGATTATTAGAATTAATAAATAAATCTTTATTGCCTTGTATTACATTCTTAGCGTTTGTGATCTTCCTTCAGTTTAGGATTCTAATGTTATTTATGTTGTCTAGGACTCGAAAAGGGGGTTTGGCATAGCCGTGTCAGGAGGGAAAGATAATCCGAATTTTGAGAATGGTGAAACTTCCATTATAATCTCTGACGTTCTTGAAGGAGGTCCAGCTGATGGACTGCTCCAGTAAGTAACCAGGATTGCTTTATTCTCTTCCTCCAGTGTGCAATGTGGTTATGAGAACAACAGTCCCACCCATAAAACTCAGTTAAAGGATCTGTCCACTCCAAGACGGGTGAGCTGTTGGCTAGACCGACAAGTCCATCGGCCAGTCAGAGGTGAGGAAGCCTCGACGAGTAGCCCCCTGGACTGGAAGTGAGCAGACACAGCCAATGAGTTGGGAAGGGCAAGAGAGGCCGCGTGGATGCCGTGGATTGGAGCTGCTCAGAGGATGTCGTGGTCCTCCTCAGGGCTTTCCTCTGTCCACTCCCCTTAAAGACGTGAGCTGTTGGTAGATTTCGGGAGGCTGAGCTCCCTCTAGCCCTAGCCACCCGCTGCTTGTTTTGCTATTTATCTTAAATTGATGCCCTTTAGTCACTGATTCACTGACCAACCAGTGGAAATAATTTTTGCCTGTCGACTCTTATCAAAACCCCTTAACGGTTTAAGGATCTCTTTCGGGTCTCCCCTTAACCTACACTATTCCAGTGAAAATAGGCCCAGTTCCCTCAGTTTCTTCTCATAGGTCAAACCACTAATCCTTAATGTCATCCTGGACTCCGCAGTCCACAAGCCTTGGCTATTGCCAACCTGCGCCAAATACCTTCTGGAATTAGGTAACAACAACAACAACAAGATTCCATTTATAAAGCGCCTTTCACGTCAGGAGGACGTCCCAAGGCGCTGCACAGTTGGGTCAGGACCCGAGCAGGGGGTAAATCTTGTAAAGCACTTTGAAACTCTGTCTGTCCAGCACCTTGGGACGTCCTCCCGATGTGAAAGGCATAATACAAATTTTGTTGTTGTTGTTGAAACATCCTCCTGACTTGAGTTATATCAAATGTAAAGATGATTCCTGTTATTATAAATGTATATATTATAAATACTGATACTGATTGTTTGAAAGTGACGGGTATCTGTCTGATTCTAATGCTAAAAGGTGACGTTTCAACCTGGGTGACAGGTTTCCATCAGAATAAACACAGACCTATTATTTTTCCAGAATTGATTATCACTCAAATTTGAAATGATCACATTGAATTGTTAATCTGTTAGTGAGGCCATTATCATGTACAACTTTCATGACGTGTGTGTGTGGTATGATCGCCACCAGCAAAGCAAAATCTCTTCAACAGTAGCATTAAAATAATTTCTTTCAAATGTCACTGTAGGGTTTTTTGGGGGAAAAACTGATTTCAAAATTAATCTCATCAAGGTTTTGCACGACAGAATCCACAAGAGTGAGTTTATAACTGAATCGATTCTCATTAAGATGAGAATTGTGCTTGAAATCGATCACGCCATTATTCTCAGAATTGGTGCCGTTATCAATTATTGATCATCTATTTATAGTCCTGACAATCATTAATTCTTCAGTGTGAACATAATTGTGCATCAGTGACGTGGATTATGTAGGGAGTTGACAACTGAGATGACTGACTGTCCACTGCTGTCTCTGCAATTACCCCAAACGCTGAACCGAAAGCCATGAGTAATATTAACCGATACTCTGGAGTGATTCTATACTTGTAATCTTATCTTGAAGTTAACAACTGCTATAAAACACAGCAGGAAAGTTTAAGTGGTTGACATCAGTCTCCGTTCATTTGTAATCTCTCATCAAGTATCTGGGTGATCTAATCACCCCCAACCTCGCCTGGCTCCCCATCCCCCAAGGATAGAGTTCAAATTTTCCATCCTAGCCTTCAAAGCCCTCCATGGCCTTGCCCCTCCCTACCTCTGTGACCAACTAACACAATATCAACTTGTCCGCTCCCTCTGCTCAGCAGGCTCCAAGCTGCTTCACATCCCTCACCCGGCCCATCATTGGTGGTCGGGTCTTCAGGCTCTCCACCACTCTTTGGAGCTCCATCCCATAGTCCCTCCTTCAAGGCACATCTCAAGACCCTCCTCTTCAACCACACCTTCAGCCACCCTCCTACCTCTACCCTCCCTGCCCTCCACCGCTCTTGAATCCAACCCCCTCCTCGGGTCCAAATCCCTGACTGTCCAGTGCCTTGGACCATCCTCCTGACATGAAAGATGCTATACAAATATAATTTGTTGTTGTTGGGTGGAGTAGCAGAGTTTTGGCGAAGTAATCATGTATCTTCTACATTCAGAGGGTAAGATTGTACTGATTTAATGTACATTTAATGATTCAACCTATATGAATATCTATGCCATTCAAAAAGAACAGGTGGCTCTTTCTTTCAATTTGATGCCCTTTTATAAAGTTTGGGGAGTGAAATTATATGAATTACAAAATAATTGGTTTCTAATGTAAACGACACTGTGGTGTCATTAAAATTAGTAGGGCTATGGTTGCTTAATTATGAATGTATACCAACAAAACTTTTACACATTGCAATCTTTTCATACTTTCTGTTCGATTCTCCCATTCACAGAGAAAATGATCGTGTCATCAACGTTAATGGCATGTTGATGGAAAATGTGCCTCATTCATTTGCTGTGCAACAATTAAGAAAATGTGGGAAAGTGGCCCAGATAGTAAGTGATGTTTGACATTTATGTGTATTTCTTTGTCTCCAATTTCCATCTTTTTGAATTTTCCTCCCTGTACAGTGTGTTTGCCATTGTACTTCATTATACTAATAACGACAGACTGTTGACTAGTGCGTACTATTTTGCCTTGTGATAACTTGCACACTGGAGCATTGATAATTATGATCTACGTGTACAAGCTTAGCAAATAAATTACAGTAATTCTCACAAGTCATATCAGTTGGGACCGTATATTTGCAAAGTATGGGTTATGTTAAACTTACATCAATATAAACTATTGAACGGGACTTGGGCAGGTGCACGACTTAAGCAATTATATGATTTATCAGACTTATGTGAGTTTTACTGTACAATAATTAATAACTTGGGATGGAACACATGTAGTATGTTGCACTACAATTTGAAGATAGATTGCTTTAAAACTATCTGGAGATACTATTGAGTAACTCCAGATTTTTGTAATTTTTTAATGCAGTATATTGTAGATTTCTTACTTCCGGGGCACAATATGTGTGCCAGCCATAGTGCAAGTAATAGGTGACCCCTTTTTTATATATTTTTAAAAACTGTATATTTTTCAAAAAGGCATCATCAAGATCCAGAGCTTCTCCGAGACTGAAACATTCTCGAGATAACATTGTCTTGCACTGGATTGGATTGACAGCCTCGACAAAACTGCTGCTCCTACATAATCTTGCATGTTTGTGGTTGTGACCTTGGGTTTCCAACGTGGAAAGTATGTTGAGACATTCATTTACATGAATGGAGCTACATAAATGCCGCTTATTTAGCCTGATTGGTGGCGTTTTCTTGACCATGGCTGAAGACGTACGACGATCGACATGCGTTTCAGCTTTGCTGGGTGATGCTGTATCTGAAACTGTTTCATGATGTTAGTGAGGGAGAGAATTCACTTACTGCAGAAGTTAATTTTGCAAATAACTAGAAGCAGCAATTAATTAGTCCTCTGTCATAATGGAAATTGACTGAAGGGTTGGTGGGGTGGGGGAAGAGGAGTCATGAATCCTTGAGGACAAGGTCATTGCAGTATTCATTTAGTGTAAAGGCTGCACTATAAAACCCAAAATAGTCTCCTGCCACTTCTGCACTTTTTGTAAATTCTTCAATGCATTAAAAGTGTATTGATGCCAACCATGTTAACAACCCCAAGCATTGCTCACTTTCCATTTCTTTTAGTGATTGTGCTTTGTTTGTTTTAAAGACGGTGAAAAGAGGTCGAAGAATCCCGGTTCGCCAGCCATCAGCTGAATCTGACAATCGTGTCTTTGATGTGGTGGATGATGATGAGTATGATCGCAGGAGTGTGCACAGTGAGAGAAGCGACAGGAGTTGGCACAGCGGGCCAAGAAGTCAAGCCTATAGCCGAGATTACAGCCCAGAAAGAAGCTACGATAGAAATCACGATAGAAACCGAGATCGTGGCAGGAGTTACGATCGAGAACGGAGCAGAGATCGCAGCGACAGCAGGGACCGGAGCCGGGGTAGAATATATGAAGAGGACAAGCGCTATGAACACAGCGATCATTACCACTATCGTGAGCCAGCGAGGGCTCGAAGCCATGAGCAACTCAGACCCAGGAGCCCATCTCCTCACTCCGAGTACTCGTACACTCAGGAGCTGCCCAAACCATACAAAGTTATGCTCCTTAAGAACAAACCCAACGAAGGTGAAAATAAGCTTTTTGTTGGTTGCGTAAGATTTGTTGTTGGTGTTTATACATGCATAAAGCAATTTAGGGAAGGCTGTTATACAAACTTGCTGATGAATACAGTGTTACTATACTTTACAGAAAACCCTGTGAAGCATTGTAAGATCTTTTGACATAGGGTGTACATAAATGCCTGTGATTCCCATATCAGTTGGTGACCTTGACACTTGACGTGAAGGTCCTAGGAATGTCAGTGTCTGCATTGCACAGATGTTCATCAATCTAGGTCAAGGACCAAAGATTTTTTGCTTCAAGGGTATGATTTTTGCACCAGATTCTAGATGATGCCCGTGCGATGAGGGTGGCCTTCCCAGCTTGGGTTCCCATTCTGCCCTTGACCCTTTTTTCTCTTTCAGTTTTCACCTTGTCAAAGAAACTTCAAATGCCTTCCAATCCATTTTTTTAAACAAAAATATAAACTGTATATATATTTTCTGTCAAACAGAATATGGCCTGCGATTGGGCAGCCAGATCTTCATCAAGGAGATGACAAATGTCGGGCTGGCAGCGAAGGATGGAAACTTACAGGAGGGTGACATTGTCCTCAAGGTGAGCTCTCCCAATTGTGCTTTTGTTGAACCAATGCAATTAGCCTACTCTTTGCAGAGTGTGACCACAATTCATAGAATCTTACAGGACAGAAGGAGGCCATTCGTTCCATCGTGCCTGTGCTGGCTCTTTGAAAGAGCTACCCAATTAGTCTGACTCCCCACCCTTTCCAAATATATATCCAATTCCCTTTTTAAAGTTATTATCTAATTTGCTTCCACCACCCTTTCAGGCAGTACATTTCAGATCTTAACAACTCTCTGTCAATGATCTTAAGTCTGTGTCCTCTGATAATTGACCCACCTGCCAATGGAAACAGTTTCTTCTTATTTACTCTATCAAAACCGCTCAGTGCTTTGAACGCCTCTATTAACTCTCCACTTAACCTTCTCTGCCTTAAGGAGAACAATCCCAGCTTCTCTAGTCTCTCCACATAACTGAAATCCCTCATTCCCTGGTATCAAGCCAATACAGAGTAATAAAATGCATGCAGCAATGGTGTTCTTAAAAGAGAGGTCTGAAGAGCCTGAACTAGATACAGCTGATGATGGTGTTATTAGAGGGCAGCCCGGATTGCTGAGCTGATTCTCAGCTTCTCTGCTTGTGTGGAAGGAGAGGAGGAGAGAGGGAGGCTTTCCCAGTGACCATTTGATAGCAGCGTTGGTGACATTCTGGGAATAGGTCAGCTCTCCTGCTTCTATCTCCCTCCTCTCTAGTAAGTGCTGACTCGTGTTGGACTTCAATTCCATAAGTGCTGTCCTCCTTCTGTTCTCCAGTACATCATCTAAGTGGCTCTGCTACACGTGTGAGCCAGGACAGAGACTACTGGGAGGGGGAGCACTACCCTTCCTCCCCCACCCTTCCAAGCATGACTCTGACCTTCTTTGTCAGTTACATTTGATCTTTCCAATAGGGGTCACTAGATAGTCAGCAATTAATAGAGAGCTTTGGCTGAATTCTTCCTTTAGCCATTTAGGTCAGTTGTAACACTCCCGGCCCAACTTGCTGCTGCATTGACTAGAAATCAGATAACCTAACACAGACCAGGGATGCAGCTCAATTGCACACGAGAAGGACTAAGAAGTTTACTTTCTCAGATAAATGGCATAGATCAGGCAGGTTTACTCCTTGAATTTTTAACTTTTTTTAAAAATACGCAGTCAAAATACCATCCTGTTACTGGTGAGAGATTAATTTTCATTAATAATTGTAAATTCCTTGGAAATGGTTGTTCTTTTGAGTCTTATTAAAAGTATCATGTTTACTGAATGCTCCATTGAATTCTGAGGCAGGAAGGGTCAATAATTGCAGAGTAGTGGGACACAGTGAGAAGGTAATACAGAACATATTGATCTTCAGAACCCATCCAACAGTACTGAGTAATATAACAACAACAACAAGATTCCATTTATAAAGCGCCTTTCACGTCAGGAGGACGTCCCAAGGTGCTGCACAGTTGGGTCAGGACCCGAGCAGGGGGGGAAATGGTCAGGGTGAGGGGAGGGAAGGGAGGGAGCGAGGAGGGGGGAAATGGTCAGGGTGAGGGGAGGGAAGGGAGGGAGCGAGGAGGGGGAAATGGTCAGGGTGAGGGGAGGGAAGGGAGGGAGCGATTAGGGGGAAGAGAGTCGAGAGGGGAGCTGAAGGCTCGGTCAAAGAGACTCAAGGCGTTGAGGTCGATTTAGTGGTGCATTAAACATTCATTGGTTTTGATGTGCAGAAGGCTGCCCACCCCGCGCTCCGCCCCCCCCCCCCCCCCCCCCCCTCCACACACACACACACACAAATGCACACACACTGTTCTTGATTATGGCATATATGAAGCCAAGACTCTCCAATTGAGCTTTCATCTGCAGGTGTACCATTCTTTTGTTTCATAAATCTACCACTGAGTTTGCATCATTAGTCAATTTTATATAGAATTTTAGTGTCTCCTCAGGGATTCAAAAGTCATCCTGTACATTTGGGAGTCCAATGAATGTTAGACATTTGTGCGACTTGTATCATGAAAATTGAGACTTGTGAGAATTGGCCATAGCAATACGTTTTCTATGGTTTGGCTGACTTGGCTATTTTTTTTTGTTCTGACAAGATCAATGGAACCGTGACGGAGAACATGTCTCTGGCAGACGCCAGGAAACTGATTGAAAAATCACGAGGAAAACTTCAGCTAGTTGTCCAACGAGACCACAAACAAACACTGATCAACATCCCCGCCATGGATGACAGTGACTCAGAAATTGAAGGTGAGACATCCAAATGTAGATAGAGGTCTCAAACCATTCTTTTTGCTGCTAATTTTCTTCTCCTTCCTTAAGCGCGTTGACTTTTCTTCTGTTAAGGGATGGTTTGATGGGTACAAGTCACCTTTTAGTACCTCGCCAAAGAGACCAATGTTTGTTTGAGCTGATATTTTGACCTCGGAGTGCAATACAGTTTCTCCCCTCAGCTGACAGCCTCACACTGCACCTTTCCGCAATGATTGTTGGATAGCAGTTGGAAGCTGTTTTTCCCTAACTCTGGGATGTCAATACCAATTCTGCCCCTTCTGCTGTCCTAGCAGATATCAGCAACCTCCAGTCTTCCATTATAGTCTAATGCTGTATCTCTTGAAGGTATTTGACTAATTTTCCTTCTTTTAGGGTCTAGTTCCATAGGTGCCAGTTTTCCTCCAGTACCTCACCCACACTTGAGCTTTGACAGTGGATCTAGTTGAGGCTTTCTCACTGTGCAACTCTGGCAGGCATTTGTGATCAGAAGCAGGAATTCTGTGTTTTTATATGTTTGTGTCTGTGTATATTATTTATATGGATATATATATATCGTAGAATCATAGAATATTACAGCACAGAAGGAGGCCATTTGGCCCATCGTGCCTGTGCCGGCTCTTTGGAAGAGCTACCCAATCAGTCCCTATCCCCAGCTGCTTCCCCATACCCTTGCAATTTTTTCTTTTTCAAGTACCTATGTAATTCCTCTTTGAAAATTATTTAATCTGTTTCCACCACCCTTTGAGGCAGTGCATTCCAGACTATAACAACTTAGTGTTAAATAAATATATATTTTTAAAAAATGTCTTCTCACCTCCCCTCTGGTTCTTTTGCCAATTATCTTAAATCGATGTGCCCTAGTTACTGACCCACCAGCCAGTGGAAACAGTTTCTCCCTTCCTACTCTATCAAAACTCCTCATCATTTTGAACACCTCTATTAAATCTCCCCTTAATCTTCTCTGCTCTATGGAGATCAATCCCAGCTTCTCTATTCTCTCCACATTAACTAAAGTCCCTCATCCCTGGTACCATTCTGGTAAATCTCGGCACCCTCTCCAAGGCTTTGATATGTGTCTCCTTAACATAGGGCACTGAGGCCAATTGTATCCCTTGTGCCCCCATGCACAGTGAGCAAACCTCGCCGCTCAAAAGCACATGATCAGTAGCTGCCCTTTTTAAAACATCTTTCTTTAGTTGAAGTGCCTGCTGCCAATTGGTGATGGCTCTGTACCAGTAACTCGCTGTGATTGAAGAGGAGGTTGCATTCTTCATTGACTAAGCGGGAAACAGTGTCCTGATTGTTTTCACAGACTATGTTTTGTTGAACTTTAATCAGATTTGGGCATTGACATGTAAATTACCTGACTTGTGATGTTCAGGGTAAATAAATAGCCTCCTGCAACCCCACACCACTTTCCTCTCTTTGTGCCTAAGATGATGATTCCTTCTGTTTCACTTCACTCCCCCTCCCATCACCCCGAAGGAGAAGTGTTCCTAACCAATTGTGATCCTTTTTAAGTATAGTAGCCTTATTTAAATGATTTGCTTTTACAAATAAAGCATGATAATGACATTGTACAACAACTTATATAGCACCCTTCACATAGGATAGTGTCCTGGGAGCATTTCATAATGGCGAGGTTGGATGCCAAGCAAGCAGAGTGGGAGGTGACCATAGAAACAGGAGTAGGCCATTCAGCCCCTCGAACCTGTTCCTTCATTCTATAAGATCATGGCTGATCTGTACCTCAATTCCAATTACCTGCTCTGCATCCCTTAATACCCTGACCTAACAAATATCTATCCACCTCAGTCTTGAAGATGTGAATGGGTCCAGCATCCTCAGACTTTTGGAGAAGAGAGTTCCCGATGTCCACTACAACTGCCTCCCAATTTCACTCCTAAATGGCCTAGGTAAAATTTTAAGATAATGCCCCCTTATTCTGGATTCCCCAGCTGAGGAAATAGTTTCTCTGTATCTACCCTATCGAATCCCTTTATTGTTTTAAAACCCTCAATCATATCATCCCTCAACCTTCTAAATTCAACAGAATAGAGACCAAATTTATGCAGTTTTTTTTATTACCCTTTAAACCCTGGTATAAATCTGGTGAATCTGCTCTACACCCCCTCCAGAGCTAATATAACCTTCCTGAGGCGATGTGCCTAAAACTGAACGCAGTACTCCAGAAGGGGTCTGAAAAAGGCTCCATATAGTTGAAGCATCATTTCTTCTCCTTTTTCTTCCAGCCATTGAGATAAAGGCCAAAATCCCATTAGTTTTTTTTAATATAAATATAGCTTGTTTGAAGAGGTAGGTTTCAATAAGTGTAGTGGGGCATCAAGAGCATGGAAGGTTATTGTTCTAACTTCCAAACTTCTTTGTGTAGGGTTATTTGAGCACGTTACTGGTATTTCACAAAACATTTCTTTCCAATCTAAAACATTATTGAATAAAATGTTAACGCATTTTGTTTAGATATTTCTGAAATCGAGTCGAACCGCTCCTATTCTCCTCTTCCGGACGAGAGGAGATCACCACATTCAGATATCTCTTCTCATTCTTCAACTGGACGGATGCTTGACCGCAAAAGGTACATTTTTTTTTCTCTCCCATCTCTTTTTTGAAAATCTTATCGAGAGATTTTCCTTCAAAGATCCACAAAGTCCATGTGGCGTAGTCAACCAGTTAGAGTTTTTTTCATTTTTGTTGAGCAAGGGTGCAAAGGAAATCAACAACAACTTGCACTTATATAGCTCCCTTCACGCAGGGAAGCATCTCAGAGCACTTAACTGGCAGAGCCTGACTCCGGGGGAGGGGGGAGGTGGCCGTAAGCATGGTCGAAGAGGACTGAAGAAATCAATTGACTTCCTTCATCCTGTGCCCCACAAGACAATGCCATCATGGACAGCTCTAAGTTTAAGGAATGTGACAAGTGGTATGATTTAAGTGAGCAAAACCAGACATTATTGGTGAGTGGTGGTGTCTGTTTCACAAACTTCCATTCAAAGCTGAACTCCTGAAGTCAGTAGTGCAGTAACCTTTGTGTAACCCCACCTATGGTGGTTACCTACTTAACAATCTGGAGGTGCTGTATATGGGAGGTTGTTTTTGGGCACGTCTGGACTTGACCTGGAATGGGGATTAACTTAAAGGCTGACTTTTATAGCTGTTGTTTTTTTTAATTCAGTGCTAAAGAAGAACCTAGTAATCAACTGGGAAAAAATATTTAAGTGAGCTTGTTTTCTGTACATATTTGATATTCCTTTGACTGTTTGGGGATTTGTTGGTTTTCCTTTCCTCACTGTAAATGGAGGAAATGAAATTCAGAGAACTGTTTTGCTTTAAGTGTTCCCTTTAGAAATTGAAAATAGCATCAGTGTAAAATAATTCTACCTGAAGTGAGATGTTCTTACTTGAAAATATCTTGCTCCAGGTCTAAGGTGCATTTGGCACAGAGCAAAATAGAATTATTCTCTCCAGAATACAGACCCAAAAAGTTTATACACCTCTGTAAGATCCCATCTAAGACATCTTCTTTCAAGATTGAAACGCCCTAGTTGACCTAATCGCATTCCTCTAACACTGGAGATCCTCCCTGTTGCTCCCCTTGGCACTGCTTCTTGGACACGGGCGGCCTCCTTATGTCACGGTGACCAGAACAGTATGCAGTGCTCTAGGTGTGGCCTGAACAGAACACCACAGCCTGAGTATGACATCTGGGGATCTGAATTTGACTGATTTAGCATAGCCAGCATCCAATGCTTTTGGGTGTTATTATTTGAGTTCCAATCTTTTATATAGCGATGACGGAGTTTTTAATAAGTTGTTAACTGTTTCCAAAACAACAGCAGCATTTATAGAGCGCCTTTCACGTCGGGAGGATGTCCCAAGGCGCTGGACAGTTGGGTCGGGACCCGAGCAGGGGGGAAATGGTCAGGGTGAGGGGAGGGAGCGAGGAGGGGTAGAGAGTCGAAAGGGGAGCTGAAGGCACGGTTGAAGAGAAAAACTGAAAAACACCGAAGCATCTTATTTTCACAACCAGACATTATTGGTGGGTGGTGGCGTTGTTTCACAAACTTTCATTCAAAACTGGACTCCCGAAATAAGTAGTGCAGTAACCTTTACGTAACATCGCCTATGGTGGTTACCTACTTAACAACCTGAAGGTGCTGTATATGGGAAGAGGTCGTTTTTGGGCGCATCTGGGCTTGACCGGGAATGGGGATTAAGGCTGAAAGGCTGACTTTTTTATGGCTGCAGCTCTCACCCAAGGTAATCTTGGTAAATGAAAATGGGTTGTGTGTGGTTTTTTTAATTCAGTGCTAAAGAAGAACCTAGTAATCGACTGGCAAAAATGGGAGCGATGCCTACTCCTTTTGCAACCACAAAGAACCTGCCAGCAGCTGTTGAGTATGATAAGGAAGATCCACACGTAGAAGATTACAGAGGTTAGAGCATTTCGATTCACAATAGCCAGTTAAGGAGGGGGAGGGAGTGTTGCTTGTAAATGTGAATTTATCACCATAGGACCCAGGGAAAGGTAAGAATATATCAATGGCAAAAGGTTTACTGCTATAGTAAGATTGTGAACCTAACCAGTTTGTATGCATAAAATCACTCCATAGAGTTTTGATTATTGCAGCCCTAAAGGTAATGGTCTAGCTGAACATCATTGGGTGGTGGGCCTAGAAGACTGTTGGGTTGCCTGGGTCTTGTTAACATGCATTTTTGTTTTCCCGTTTATCCTGATATCAGTATGTCATGTTCATGAAATAATAGTCCGTAGTTATGAACTTGCTTTGACTGAGGCACTTGCAATGGCTCATTGGAGCTTCCGCAGTCTGGAGTTATATCTGTGGTTTTTTTTGGGGTCATTGGTGAATTAAAATTGTGAATTTTTGCACAGCTCAGCGGTGACTGATTAACATACGCTCTTCACAGCTGCTTGTTTCTACAAAGCTGACCAGTCTGCCTGCAATATCAGTCTTTAACTCGTCTTCTGCAAATGTAGCCCTGAACTGCTGAAAGTGTTTCAATGTAATTGTTCAAATAATGTGCAGGGTGTAAAGGAAATTTGTGTATATTGTAACAAGACTTTGGTGATCTTTCCCTGATATTTTGAAACAATGTGACACATTGCACGGAAATGCTCATTTGTTTTTTAATGATACCTGAAGAGCTTCTAGTTTAATGCTTTGATGTTTTAAATGCATTGCTTTCTGCCTTCCTCACATTTTAGTGGAGACTGTGCCCGTGGCAAAACCCAGACAGTTTCTTCGACCAAGTCCAGAGGATGAACAAATTTTCGGGTGAGTTTGCCCAGAAAAGCTGTTTTCAGCGAACTGTAATAGCGATGATTTCCAGAACTGTAATGTAGCCCCAGGGATGTGCTGGGGCACTGCGGAAGTAGTTCCACGGTTGGTTGCTTGGGTTTGTTAAAAGCTATATTGACTATCCCTTCAGGATAGCCAGGGCAGATCTAACCTTGCTGACATGGTAAGGCGGGTATCTCTGCTCGACTCATCACTGGGTCGCTAGCTGTTCCTTACTTGATGGCAATTCAGTACTTTACTGCCCTGCAATAATAATAATAATCTTTGCATTTGATATAGAACCTTATCACATCGTTCAGTTGACTCAAAGTGCTTCACAGAATATACTGTAAAGTGAATTGACTGTGTATTTTGTGGGCGAAACGCGACAGCCAATTGTGCACAGCAGTGTTTTCTTTAGGGATTATTACTCCCTGGTTCCTATTTTTACTGTTGCTAAACAAAAGGATGTGGAGTAAGGAAACTTGCCTAAGGTTTCACCCCACTTGGGAATCAAACCCAGATCCTCTCACTTACAAGGCAAAGCGCCCCACGGACTTTCATGACATTTCATGGAAAGGCTTTTCTGCCTATGTTTCATACTGACTAACTACAGGAACTGGTGAAGAAATACACTGTAAAGCTTTTTAAAGCAGGTGGTGGCAAGGAAGATCAAAACTCAGAGCAGTTTATTTAAATGCTATTTATTTCTATTCACGCTGAGAGGTTATTTTGGATAGTTATTTTAGTTAGATTTCATGCAACAATCTTTTGCTCTAATTAGATTTGATAAATTTAGATTTGAAATAACATTCAAAGGCTTAAAGTAAATGTCACACATTTAAGGGCTCCAAAAAATTTCAAAAGTTTAATTCTAGCTGCAAATGGTTGGAATGAATAGCATTCCAACTGGTGTTGTTTTGCAAACAGAAACTGCAATACACTATTCTGATTTATTTATTTTTTTAAAATGTATACGATTTCTGTGATTGAAACAAAATAGCAAAGTTGTGCGAACAAGAGTCCATTTGCTGAGGCTTTTCATATTGTTTTTTCTAATGTGTCGCTTCAACAATACAATAGTTTGTTTGTGTTAGGGGATTGGTCATTTTTGCCTGTCTTATGGGAAAAGGGATGTGCTACTGAGGGATACATTTCTTTATTTTGTCAGTATCTGTTACATTCTGACCACAATTTTGCTCACTTTTGCCAGCAGTATAATATATAAGCGTTGGCCTGTGAATTCCAAGCCGTCTACATGTGCCTCAGCACACTTTGGATTGTTTGCCTCTTTGGTTGTTCAATTCATCTGTGACCAGTGTGCTTGATCAGCCTGGCTCAGCACTCCCACCTCCACATCGGGAGGTTGTGGGTTCAAGCCCTATTTTAGCACTTGGAACTCATAGTCTAGATTGACACTCCAGCGCAGTGTGTGGGAATGCTACATTGTCAGAGGTGCCGTCTTCAAATGAGTCGTTAAACCAAGATGATATCTGCCTGTTCAGGTGGACATTAAAGATCCTAGAGTTTTATTTAAAAAGAGAAGAGAGATTCTCCTGGTATCTCCCAAATAAAACTGGCCATTCACTTCCTGGCTCTTTGTGAGCTGTTTGGCTGTTGGCTGCCGCATTTGCCTCCAAACTGCAATCACTGCACTTCACAGTAAAATCCTGTAAAATGCCTTGAGGTGTTTCGACAATGTGGTAAAGCGCTATATCAAATGGAAGAACTATTATTTATTATTATCATCTGTCTCCCTAGCCCTGAAACAAAAATGGTGCAGTTCAAGAAAGGTGACAGCGTTGGCCTTCGATTGGCTGGTGGCAACGATGTAGGAATCTTTGTAGCAGGAGTGCAGGAAGGAAGCCCAGCCGAGCTTGAAGGGTTGGAAGAGGGAGATCAGCTTCTCAAGGTAATGAACCACTGCTGCATTTACATCTGCAAAGCTCCCACTTCAGAGTTGTTATACAATTCTAAAGACCTAGTAATGTAAACAAGTTCAAATACAACACACAGGAATTCCCATGTGTAGGCGGAATGTATGGGAAGAGATGTTCTTAAGCATGGTGATGGGTTTCCACATGTATCAGACACCCGGCTGACCCCCCCCAAAAAAGCAAGTCCAAATCAAATTGAGGATTTAGTGTTGATGGAGGATATTCAAATAATCTCCAGTCAAGTAACAGTGATGAAAGTGGAGTATGTTTTAATGCAGAAACCATGGATTGATTAAAGAATGTTCATTGTATGTAGTTATCGATTTTATTGCAAGATGAATGGGTACTTTGTTAGTGACTTCCTCATCATGATTTCTTGTAATGATCCCTGGCTGTGTCTTCAGTACCTTTTAGTGGCCTGTCACAGAAAAGCAGAGGCCTAGGTGTAGGTTACCCGACTCCCTATTCAGCCAGGAATAGTGCATGTAAATGTGAGGAGCAGGAAACTAAGGAATTGATGCTTTACAAGTTGTGCAATGCCAGAGGACTTGTTTTATGAGCTGGGATATTAAGAACGGCATTGAACAATGCAATCAAACGTGTTTGCGTAGCCATGTAGAATGTCAATCACGGTGGCACCTTTCTAATTAAATACGCTTGTTTTGCTGACTGCTTCCAATGTCTGTCTAGTTCTCTACCTCAAAACTAAAATCTATCTATTCTAACACTTTAGTGACCAACTTGAAGAGTCTGTTTTAACATCACTCATCAATTTCTGAGATTTGTAATCGATAAGATGTGGGACACCAGGCAGCAGAAGCCGGCCTTCTTTGGCTGTAATTTGGAAGTCAAAACCCAGAGAATCTGATCCATTTAGTCCAATAATAGATGCACTGACCAATGACCCTTTCCTTCATCCTATTTTTAATTTTAAAAAAGTATGATTTAAAAAGTGATGAAATAAAGCAGACTACTCCAAAATCAGAAGGATCTTTCCACACTAGTAATTCCCATCATTTCGGTGCAGGTGCAACTGTGACAATTTTATTTGCTGCAACTGCACATTTCTAAGCATTGTAGCTGGACGATGATTTGATGTTGCTGTGTCCTCCACCAGGTCAATGCCATGGATTTCCGTAGTATTGTGCGGGAAGAAGCAGTTCTATTCCTTTTAGAAATCCCTCGAGGTGAAGATGTGATTATCCTAGCGCAGAGTAAACTTGATGGTATGTAATTAGTCAACAATACTTGCTGAAGTCTATTATGTTGGTTGTTGTGGCTTTTATTAGATTTTAAAAAAATGATATCAATATCTAGTTTACTTTTTTCAAAAGATTTTCTTTCAACTTTTAGCTCTTTTCAACCACAAAAATAGTCATAAGGTCGTCAGACACTGCTTCCTGCTCGCTACTTAGACAGCATCTCTGACATTACTTTGTATGTTTCACACACACGCAGCAAGTGTCACCCTTGGTGATATTTTGACTTAAAAATTGGACATTTTTGTAGGTCAAAATCGGGGTGGAGGGGGGGAATATTTAATGATAGTTAATTTTCCTTGATTTTGGGAAGATTTGGTGATTTCTTACTTTGACCAATTTAAAATTGTAAACCCGCAAGCAAGCCTGTCTGTGGCTGCTTTATTGCATGGAGGTTGTTCAGGGCTTTATAGAAATGTTGCTTGAATGAAATATTTGGAGATTAAAAGGTGATTTTATTTTAAAAATAAGTACTTTGAATATAGGAGGTAAGAGCTGCATTTCTGAGGATGTGCGACGTGCCAATAAATGCCTGGAACTTTTATGTCTTGTATTTTAACCCTTTGGTTGCTTGTAGCTCCAGGGGTTCCAGGCTTTATTCACATTTTCAGCAAAACACTCTAAAGAGCAAAAACATGAGCTTATGGAGTGCCTTTCATAAAATTAAATGTGTAAAGGAAAAATAATAAGTAAGAAAGCAACTATTGTAGAGGAAGCTTTCACTGTACATTAGAAAGTCTGATAATCATATAGTTTGTCACTGGGCACTGGGTTGCGGATATAAAAAAATGTGCGAGTGTCTGGTCAGCTCACGCAGTACAGTTGACCAAAAATGTTGACTAAACTCTTTCTTCTATCAGGATTTATATTGTCACTATAGTAACACATGGTTAGCCCTTTTGTCTTTCTCTCTTTTTCCTCTTTGCCACTACACACAGTTCCAGATCTTCCCTTCCCTGGAGTCCCTCAGACTTAACCCCCTCTCTCTCTCTCTCTCTTGTATGTGGAGTCCTGTAGCTCAGTGGTTAGAACACTCGCTTTGCAAGTGAGAGACCCGAGTTCAATTCCAGGCAGAGGGCGAAACCTTGGGCAAGTTTCCTTACTCCACACGCCTAATGATAATCCCTCCAAAACAAAAAATAATAATAAATTGGTCATTTTCAATCTACGACTGTTTGAGCGGCTGTATTTTTTTCCATGTTAGTCCGCATTTCTTCACTTGTCAGCAACATGAATGTGCAACTGTCCCTGATTGTATTCCAATGTGTAAGAAAAGAGACTATGGCAACCAGGGAAACTGAAATCTATAGTTACTATTAAAATGTGTTTTGTCTTCTTTTAGTGTACAAAGAAATTATCGAGTCTGGCCGAGGGGATTCATTCTTCATAAGGACACATTTTGAGTATGAGAAAGAAAGTCCACAAAGTCTGAACTTTGCCAGAGGAGAAGTCTTCAAGGTTTTGGATACATTATACAATGGCAAACTGGGGAACTGGTTGGCAGTACGAATTGGACGTGATAACATGAAACAGATGGAGAAGGGCATTATTCCAAATAAAAGCAGGTGAAAGCACAATGAAATCTGAAATCTGACCTGTAGATTTTCCACACTGTACTGCAGAAGAGACCTGAAAGCCTGCAGGAGGTTTCAATATTCCTGAGCTAACTCGCTGATGATAACCAGAGACACCAAGCTACTTGCAGTACACAATTGTCTCCTTTAGAAATATCCATTCAAAAGTACACAAATAAAAGGGAACAAAATAGTTTAAAATTATTCCATAAAGGGTTTTATTCCAGTTTATCCTCTACAAAATATTTTGTCCCTGATTTATTAATAAAGATGTGTGTGTTTCCAACCCAGAGTCCCTTAGACTCGCCCCTTCCTCGACTCCTTCAAGGTCCATCTCAAAATCTCTGGTTGCATCTTCGGCGGTCTTCTGTTGCGAAAGACACCATACAAATGTATATTTGTTACTGTGGTATATAGGATCACATTTTGGGAAGAGTTGGGCTCATTAGATAGGGATCCCACCTCTTGTTGGGATTCACATTGTACCAGTTGACACATGCATATTTTTATTTTGGTTTTATAACATGTTTTTCCTCTGTTTGAGTTCACATGTTACTTTTTCACAATTTTTCTTCAGGGCCATTATCAGTTGTGTTCTTTGGAGTAGTTGCCTGTGATTGTGTGAGGCATTTTGGAAGTGGGAGCGACTTTGTTTTAAAAAGAAAATTCCTAAATATTTTTTGTTGCCTGAAATATGACTTTAAAGGGAGTACATAACAACAACTTGCATTTATCTAGAGCCCTTCATGTGGGCACCAAGTTGGAGTGCTTTGAAAAGGGAGGGATGGTACAGAATGAGGTGCTCATAGCAGGGGAAGGAGGCAGAGGAATAGCGAGATAAATCAAGAGAGGTTTGGGAGATGAGGCCACCTTGTTGCCAAGTTGGTTGGGGGTGTGGTGGAAGGTGTTGCTAGGTGAGGAGGCTTTGGTGAGGGGGTTGGGGTCACTGGGGGGCAGGCGGGTTTCCATGAGCCCAAGAATATCTATGTACGTTAAAGACGGATGGGAGAGAGCATCAGGAGGGGTTGAGGCTCATGTGGAGCATAAACGCTATTATGAACTAGTTAGGCTGAATGTTACATGCTGTAACATTGCAACTACTGCAGCCATTGAAAAAGCCTAAACTTTGAAGATTTTTAAAAGTTAGTGCAACTGAAGCTGACCTCTTTATGATTTCTTGTCAGAGCTGACCAGATGGCCAATATTCAAAATGTCCAGAAGACAAACACGAATGACAGAGGAGACTTCTGGCGCTCACGGGGCCAAAGGGCTGCAATGAAAAAGAATCTTCGCAAGAGTCGTGAGGATCTCACCGCTATACCAGTCAGCACGAAATTCCCAGCATACGAGAAGGTGGTTCTTAGGGAAGGTAAGCAACAACAACAACTTGCACTATATATAGCGCCCTCCACGCAGGGTAGGTTCTCAGAGCGCTTAACAGTGGCGGAGCCTGACTCAGCTGGGGGGGAGGGAGGTGACTGTAAGCAAGGTCGAAAAGGAAGGATTTCAGGAGCGACTTGAAAAAGGGGAGAGAGGGGGCAAAGCAGAGGGATTGAGGGAGAGGGTTCCAGAGTTTCGGGGCGTAGTGGCTGAAAGCGCGACCTCCAATGGTGGAATGGATTGTGCGAGGGACACGCAGGAGGCCTATGCCAGTTGAGCAGAGGCACCAGGTGGTAGAGTGGAGAGGTAGGGAGGTGCCGGAGAGTGAAGGGATTTGAACACGAGTGTGACGATCTTGAAGTCGATCCGTTCGTTGATGCGGAGCCTGGCCAGAACTGGTGAGACGTGGGTACGGAGTTTGGTCCGGGTAAGTATGCGGGCAGTAGAATTCTGAATGAGCTGGATTTTTTGAATACTGGAGCTGGGGAGATTGGCGAGGAGTGCATTGGAGTAATCCAGACAGGAGGTAACAAACACATGCACAAGGGTTTCGGCTGCATTTGGGGTAAGGTACGGTTGGAGGTGGGCAATGGGGCAAAGGAAGGTGGTCCTTGTCAGGGACCAGATGTGGGGGAGGAAGGATAGCTGGGGGTCCAACCGGATGCCTAGATTGCGCATTGGTTCAGTGAGTCTGAGGGAGAGCCCAGGAAGCAGGTGGTCAAGGCAGCAGGTGGTAAACTTCATGGAGGTGATTGTGGTTGAGAGGGAGGAGGGAGAAATGGGGCAAAGGAGTGTAAGGAAAGGGGAGTGGCAGGAGCTGTGGTGGAGGGAGAAAGTGGTGTGGTCGGTCTGGGTGAAGTGGAAGGGGACGTGAGGTGGGGGGAGAACGATGCAACCAAATGGATGTTTTCAATCTTTGAGGGGAAGAAGTCTAGGACCTCTTAGGATGTCCAGGATGGAGGGAGCTAGAATGGGTGCACAAAGGAGATGATGGACAGTAGAAGATAGCGTCTTTGGGTTGTTGTTTTGCCTCCAGGATGACTTTGGGGTAAAAGTCAGTTTTGGCTTGTGAAAGGGAGAGGGGTAGGTGCGGTGGTGCTTGAGCCACAGCTGGCGGTGAATCATGAGGCTGGAATTCTGCCATCTTTACTTGAGCATCCTGGTTTGTGTTTTGGTGAGCAGAGATGACTGTTGTACCGGGGGAGCGGGTAGGTTTGGAAACAACCCTGAATTTCAGGGGAGCCAGGAAATTAAAGGTTGTGGAGAGACAGTCATCCAGCAGCTTGATGGAGGTCCAGAGAGAGAGGAGGTCCGAGGAAGTGAGAGCATTTGTGAGAGACTCGGGTGGGGGGGAGAGGGGAAAGCTTTTTCCAGGGGCGGAAAAAAATGGTGGAGAGTTTGGAAGTGGGGATGTGAAAGGAGAGGAAAAAGCGGAAGCAGGCTAATGGTATAGTTCAGTTCAGTTTTGTGTTTGTGTTTTGAACAGGAATAATCTTAGAAAAATTATTAAATTTAAATAATGAATTTAAATTTTGACAAATTCCTTATAATTCTGACAGAATAAGAGCTCCCTCCAAGACCTGCTTAGGTAAAGGTAGTGACTAGTCCAACAGCACTAAACCATACAAGATGGATAATAACCACTATGCTACAGGACTCGACATTAGATATGCTCCCTCACACACACACACACCCCCCACACACACACAACACACACTGCCCACTCTTGCCTTCCCAAAACCTCTCTCAATCCCGCCGCTTAATGTAGCTCTCAATCCTGCCCAGCTCAGTGCTGAGTTTGTTGATCTCAGTTATGATGCTACAATTGGCTTTGTCACCCCTGTTTTGAAGATGACAAAAATTAGTCACATTTCCCGCTCCAGATCTATATCCGGGAACGTTTCTAGGAACAACGGATAAAGGCAGAATTGGACCCGGTGCAATACCCCAACTAATTGGTAATCTGCTGACTACGCTAAAATGTGCAGAATTACAATGGGGAGGAGGTTCGTGTGAAGAATAACCAGCTAATGGATGTATTGTAGGATACCCAGTCACATAGGGAATGAAACAAATAATCCTTGCGTTTGATATAGCACCTTTCACGTTGGGGGACACCTCAACACATTTCACAGGATTGACTATAAAGTGTATTTTTATCGGTGACCACGGGAGCTAATTTGGGCATGGCTGTCCCAGTAGGAATGAATTAGTGGGGAGGGGATGGGGGGAGAGAGGAGAGAATTTTGCCCAGGGAAGTTGTAGAAATCTCAAATTGTTTTGGCATATGTAAAATGTTTAAAATTTAGGGTTGTAGATTCAGTCAAAATAAGTTGCACAATTGGTGAAATCTGATACATTTAAGTTTTCAATCTTGGCTTGTCATTCTTGCTCCAGCGCCTTGGGACATCCTCCCGACGTGAAAGGCGCTCTATAAATGGAATCTTGTTGTTGTTGACTGAGGATAGCTATCTCCCCTATTTCTATAATAATATCGGTGGCTTTCCATGCTCTACTTTAACGGCACTCTTATTTTTAGCAAGAGCTGAAAAAGATGCACTTGCTTTTACTTCTGTCCTAAGTGGGCGAAACTCAGTGCTATATTTAACTAATGGAGCAGTATTTCTTGAAGGAAAAAGGAAAAATCTTAGGCAGTGGTATTTGCCTTCACAATCCCAATGGCAACGCCTTGATTACTGAGTCGCTGCTATTTCCTGACTTATGTGGAGCGCCTGATTGTGTTTTTGTTATCATAAAGCTGACATCTGCACTCCCATTTTTCATTGGTGAATGAATTATAATAATAATAATCCTTGCATTTGATATAGAGCCTTATCACATCTTCGAGGCATCTCAAAGCGCTTCACAGAATATTCTGTAAAGTGAATTGACTGTATTTTTATGGGCGAAACCCGGCAGCCAATTGCACATAGCAATGTCCCACAAACAGTCATGGATTGAGCAACCATATTATTATTTATTTATTTTTAAAGGGATTATTACCCCTGGAAAAGCGATCTGCAGTCGACTAACATCTGGGTTCCTACTTACTGCTAGGTGAACAGAGGCATGTGGAGTCAGGAAACTTGCCCAACGTTTCACCCTGCCCGGAATCAAACCCAGGTCCTCTCGTTTGCGAGACGAGTGCTCTAACCAATAAGCTACAGGGATCACCAATCCTTGCATTTGATATAGAGTGTTATCACGTCTTTGCAGTGTCTCCAAGCGCTTCACAGAATATTCTGTAAAGTTAATTGCCTGTATATTTTTGGGGCGAAATGCCCTAAGATAATGCACAAGAGAGAGGAACACTACTTGATTTTGTTTGTACTCATTCCTCTTCCTTAACCCCTCTTTGTCGCAGCCCTGTGGTGCTGAAGTGTACTACGTGATCTCCACCCTGCACTACCCCAGCAGAGATCAGCTAATACAACAGCTTGAATTTATTTAGCGGCTTTCCCATGGGGTAGCATCTTCAAGCACTTAACAAATGCATAATTTGACTTTTTTTATTTGATTATTATTTAACTATTATACAATTGCAATGATGCTTTAGTAGTGTAACTACAAACTGTTTTCATTACTTCCCTTTCCCCCACCCTGATCCTGAAACCTTACTCCGTGTAGCTCAGTGCCACACTGAAGAATCTGTTTACTCACCAAGTTACCAACGATCATTTTCCGAGTTTAACAGGTGTATTTAAGATCTTCAAGATGCTACCCCACATGAAGGGCGCAGTATAAATGTTAATTGTTGGTGTGTATGTATAATATTGATATTTTTCTACTCTTTCTGAAGCAAATGTGTTGCTCTTCAAAAATTGTAACCAACTAAGGAACCTTTGCTTGAAATAACCTTATTACAAAGTTTAATGTGATTTAAATAGTTCTGTTTGCAATAATAATTCTTGCATTTGATCCAGATCCTTATCAGGTCTTCAAGACCTCTCAAAGCGCTTCACGGAATATATTGTAAAGTGAATTGACTTTTTATTTGATTATTATTTAACTATTATATAATTGCAATGATGTTTTAGTAGTGTAACTACAAACTATTTACATTGCTTCCCTTCCTCCACCCTTCCTTTTGTAGCTGGCTTTAAAAGACCTGTGGTGCTCTTTGGACCTATAGCAGATGTGGCAATGGATAAGTTGGCGAAGGAATTGCCTGATTCTTATAAACCTGCTAGTAAGTAACCGTTCAAACAAATGTTCCTGATGGTCATCTGTGCTCAACCTAACACATTAGCAGAGCATTCATTTACAGTTCATCTGTGTTTTACTTCTTAAACTTCAGAAACTGAGCCCAGAGATGCAGGTGCAGAAAAGACGACTGGTGTGGTCAGACTGAACACAGTCCGGCAAATCATTGAAGAGGTAAGATAGTGGCAAGACTTTGCATTTTCACTCCAATACTTGGTCAGTGAACTCTTCTCTTGCAGTTTTTCTCTGAAACAGACCCCTGAATTACTTTGTTATTTTAAAACCTATGTTTGAATTTATGCCTGGTTTCAGGGAGAAAAACTTGCTTTCTTAAAATGTCCAACCATTACATCCAAGAACCATACAAGAGTTCACAGATTACATAATTATTTGTGTACAAGTCACTGTCTATGCCAACTGCCTTCATTTAAAAAAAAATACCTTTTATATTTGTGTAAGTAACGATCCATCTCAGGGGAAGGAGCAACCTGTGAGAGGTTCCATTCTAATTATTGTTGTGTCTGTGACTTCTAGTGTTCAACATAGTTTTCCATGATTTCGGCTAATTCCTCTTCTTACACTGCTATATTAGGTTTTAAGGAGGCATTTGCTTGACATGCACAATTGGGCTGGCATTTGTTCAACTGAAAACATTTTCCCTTACTAGTACATCTATAAAACAATCTGATCTAAAACTGGACTTGTTGGAATTTGTATCACTAATTCCATTTGCCCATTTTATAAAAACCACTGGAATTTTAACTGAAGTAAACAATCTGTAAGTGGGAGAGGAGGGAAGGCGAGGAGGAAGCACATGTTACTCTGGGACACGGCTGTTTGCATTTTTGTCTATATTAAAAAAAAGCAATTCTGTTTTTAATGAGCACACATGACAGGAACAAATATTGTTCAAAGTTCAGTTTGTTCCTAAAGTAAACCCAGTTGACAAGTTATTTTTGCAGTTGTCAACAACTTGCCTGCAATTGAACTCTTACCAGCAAGTTGAGTGCAGCAGATGAAAAGCTGTATTGTCGACCCTTTTCAAAGTTTTTGGATCTTGATAAGAGGGAACTAAACAGCAACACATTATTCCAGATTTAAAATCAAGACTCTTACATTGAATACCCAAAGGAAATTATTTATCATTTGGTTCATAGAGAGCACTCTTAACACAATGGACTGAGTGTCCTGCTACACACCAGAATAATGAGCTGCCTGTTGGCTCAGCAAGTTTAACTGTGTGAAGTGTTGGATCAGCCACTCGCTAGATTTAAATAAAATATCTGATGCTTCACTACTGCCGGTGATTACCTAATCCTGTTGGATGCAAATCTGGTTATAAACTACTTTGCGTGTCACAGGATTCTGTTCGCTGTATTTATTCTAACGGAGAAATGCATTGAATGTTTTCTTGTAAATGCTTTCGTAAGTGTTCAATTATCAAGAGAATGGCTGGATACTACATGATATTTATACAAGTAGAACTAAGGACGGAGTGTGTGTGGGTGAGATATTTATTCAAATGCAATTATACACTTTTAAATGTAAGCATTTGCTTGTGCAAAAAAAAGGGTGGAACCAAATGAGACTCAGAAATCCAGATTAATCTGTTACGGTATGTCGACAGGATTCAATTGAACACATTCGCTGTATAACAGTGCAACAGAATTTTAGATCTTGCAGCTCAGAAACAACAATTTTTTGAGTTAAATTTATTGCAATTCAGTGAACATCAAAGGCTTAAAAATTAAAAGTAGCTGGTCAATTAAGGAAGCTGTAGGATTTTTTTAATTAGGTTGCATGTTTTTCTTCATTAGCCTCTCTGCCTTTTCACTGATGAATTTCCTTCTTTTACAATGACCCTGACTCACTGGAACACTTTTCCTGGGGGAATTAATGCACTTGTCTTTCTCTGTGATGCACTTCTGATTTCCTCTTGGGTTTTTGTGCCTGGACAGGATAAACATGCTCTACTGGATGTAACGCCCAAGGCTGTGGATCTACTGAACTATACTCAGTGGTACCCGATTGTGATCTTCTTTAACCCAGACAACAAACAAGGAGTTAAAACAATGAGGCAGAGACTGACTCCAAATTCTACTAAGAGCTCCCGAAAACTTCATGAGCAGGCTATCAAGCTAAAGAAAACTTGTACTCATCTTTTTACAGGTAAGAAACTGTAATTCACTGATAGATTACAGATCTTTATCAGATTCAATGCCCTTTCTCTTCTCTCCCTTTCTTTATCTTGCCACAGTAATCTATTTGGTGAGGTAATGTAGCAATGCCATTCTTGCAATTGGTGCAATACTTTAACACATCATCGAAACAAGCTTCACAGAAATTACTGTAAACTATTTGAAGACAATGCTGTAATAGGAACCAAGAACAGCTTTGCTGTCAGCTTGGCTCATCTGGCACAGTGGCCTCTTTCGGTGCTGTAAATTTCTCAGTTAGAATTGGGTAGTTGACTCCTAATATAGGGAGGGCAGAATTAACCAGCATTTGTTTCCACTCCTTAATGCTGTCCAGTGTGTGCCGCTGCTAGCAAGTACACAAGTGAGGATGGGATTGTGTTTATTTGTGATCCTGCAGCAGTCGAATGGCATCTCACTGTCATAATGGCCACTTAGGCAAGGTACAAGTCAGAGTGTCAGCCATACTGCAGTAGAAGGTAAAATCAATCCAATGCCTGCAGAGGGGAGGGGAGAAAATGGAATCTTTAACGTCCAAAAGGCATATGGGAGCTCAGTTTTAATGCCTCATCTGAAGGACTGCATGTTAGACAGTGTAGCACGCCCCTAGCACTGGACTACGATTTCGAGAGCATTGCAAAAATAGAATTTCAAAACTTATGTTAATGACCATTTTTCTCTTGTCCTCCTTTAGAGATCATTGATCTGAATTCTGCCAATGACGGGTGGTATGGAATGCTTAAGGATTTGGTCAATAACCATCAAGAATCGGCTGTGTGGGTTTCAGAAGGAAAGGTCCGTATTTGAAGTTCTAAGAGTTTGCTAAATTCATTCAAAACCTTGAGGGCCAATTTGTCTGCGCATTAACATTAATGACACGTGACTGTGAGATAATCCTGAAAACTTGAATAACATTTTAAAATGGCTCGTACCATAATTTAAATCAGTAAATGGTCTTAACCGATCCCATTGTCATCGTTATTTAAATGAAGGGAAATGACCGCATATTAGTTTTAGATAAAAGTTTGATGTAGCAGTTCTTTTTAATATCTCAGTTAGAAGTTGAGCTGTTCTAGTCAGCAATTAACACGTTTGTGTTGCAAACGACGACAGCATTTAAGAAGAATTACAGGCTGCTCGTCTTAAGAGAAAGTTGGATAAGAGTAAGTTTTTTGCATTGTGTCTTAATTCCTCCTTTTCTCCATCCATTCATTTAGATTGCACTGCATTTCAGTTAAGTGCAAGTTTCTTAAGCTTCAGTGCACCCAGTGATCTTGGCTGACCTAGCAATTTTGCCTATAGCCTGTCCCATTTACTCACTCATTAATTACCCGTAGTCACATAACCAGTATGTATCAATAGCTTATTCCTAAAAGTTGGAAACCTGTCCTTGTACCTAGGATTTTCCCAACGAGGTTTGTTATGCTTCACATTTCTTTGTGTCTTTTAAAAACAAAACTTGCGTTTCAATTTCTGTTTGTTACTCCAGTGAGGAAAAAAATTGAACTGCAGCTCCCCCAATGGTCTCGTGGGTAAAAGCACGACCACATATACCACTGGGGCACATTGATGAGACGCTCACTCATCTCAGTTGGGGTGCTAAAGTGCCACCTGCTTTAGAGAAGGAAAAATCACTCAAGGTTCCCAGAGACTGCTGCTGGAAGGTGTGCGGGTGTGGGCTTTGAGTTAGGACAGCTGAGTTAGCTTATGAGATAGTGGAGGCCTTGTGTCTGATCTTCCAAAATTCCTTGGATTCTGGAACAGTCCCCATGGATTAGAAGATCGCAAATGTCACACCACTATTTAAAAAAGGTGGAAAGGAAAAGATGGGGAACTGTAGGCCAGTTAGTCTCACATCAGTGATAGGAAAATTTTTAGAATCGTTGATTAAGGATGTGGTATTACAGTATTTAGGGGAACACAATATAATTAGGCCAAGTCAACATGGCTTTACAAAAGGGAAGTCATGTTTGACAAATCTCATAGAATTTTTTGAGGATATTTCGAGTAAACTAGATAAGGGTGGATCAGTGGTATATTTGGACTTCCAGAAGGCATTCGATAAGGTGCCGCATAATAGGTTAGTCCAAAAGAAAGGGGCCCATGGAATTGGGGGGAGCATAGTAACGTGGATTGGGGAATGGTTAACGTGTACGAAACAAAGAAGAGGGATAAATGGGTCCTTTTCAGATTGGCGGGATGTGACTAGTGGAGTGCCACAAGGATCAGTCCTTGGGCCTCAGCTATTTACCATCTACATCAACGATCTAGATCAGGACATCAAAGTTAATATATCTAAATTCGCAGATGACACAAAACTAGGAGGAGGTGTCAACACAGAGGATGACATTAAAAAAATGCAGCGAGACATAGATAGGTTAGGTGATTGGGCAGGTAGGTGGCAGATGAAGTATAATGTAGGGAAGTGCGAAGTCATCCACCTGGGTAGCAAAAACAGTAGAGCGGGTTATTTTTTAGAAGGGGAGAGATTGGAATGTGTTAGTGTCCAGAGGGACTTGGGGGTCCTTGTACACCAATCACAGAGAGTTAGTCTGCAGGGGCAGCAGCAATTAGGAAGGCGAACGGTATGTTAGCATTCATTATGAAAGGATTAGAGTATAAGAGTAGGGAAGTCTTGCTGCAACTGTATAGGGCCCTGGTGAGACCACACCTGGAATACTGTGTCCAGTTTTGGTCTCCTTATTTAAGGAAGGATGTACTTGCCTTGGAGGGGTGCAGCGTAGATTTACTAGGTTAGTACCAGGGATGAAGGGGATGAGTTACGAGGATAGGCTGACCAATTTGGGCCTATATTCTCTAGAATATAGAAGAATTAGAGGGGATCTTATAGAAACCTTTAAGATCATCAAAGGGCATGAGAGTAGATAGTGGGATATTGTTTCCCCTGGTTGAAGAAACTAAAACCAGGGGTCACAACCTTAAAATCAGAGGCCAACCCTTTCGCACTGAGTTGAGGAAGAACTTCTTCACTCAAAGGGTGGTGAATGTATGGAACTCACTACCCCAAAGGGATGTTGACGCTCAGTCCTTGAACATATTCAAGACTGAGATAGATAGATTTCTTATTGCAAAAGGGATTAAGGGATATGGGGATAAGGCAGGGTCAGGTTATTAGCTGGAGTTAGATTAGAAGATTGAATGGAGCTTGGTTGTGATACGAACACTTTCCACCAAAGTTGACACAGGAAAATGGCAACTTGATGAGCTCGCAGAGGAAAACCAGCACCTGTGGAATTGTACCTCAGCAGAAAGGGAATCTTGGAATATTTCTTCCATTTCTTTTTTTATAAAAAGCCATGTGGTATGTTAAACCTAGTGATCTGCAAGTACCTATAGTGTCAGGACCATGAGGGTCGATCTAGTCAGAGTCTGTGCTCTATGCAGTTCTCAGCCAGAGGTTTCATTGGCATCAGTGGTACTGTGTCCAGATACCTATCACTAACCAGAGAGCTTTAGCACCACATTCTTCACTGGAGCAATGGCTTCAGCTTCTCCCGCCCGCAGCTGGCTTACTAAATGCACGCGCACAACTGCGTAACGCTCACTGCATGTAATGGTGTCTTGGCAGGTAATGTGCACCTGTTAATTTCACCACTCGTCCTGCACGGTGATGTTGCCATGATCTGTAGCCTGATCACAAGATGATCCTTGAAAGTAACTGGCTGCATGGAGTGCACACTCAGTTGTTAAGCATGGACACTATTTGCATTGCTCATTTATCTAAGCTGCAGGTTAAATGCAGCTTGACCCATTCCCCCTGTTGAATAGAACACTTTAGTGCAGCCACTCAGATCAATTCCTTGCTCCAGATTATAAATTGAGGGCCTTTGAACAACAGAGGGGTGAAATTATAATGAGACATTTCTGTTTCTTGTTGGGAAAATCCTACTTGCTCTGAAGAGAAATTGACTGTACCTTAACCCTTTCCCACCCAAACAATTAATCAAAGTGGACTACTCGACTCCCATTGGACAGACACAATGGGAAGTTCTGAGCATTTTGGGTGGGAAATATAAGGAATATCACTTGCTCTTAAGAGGAATTCATGGCTGCGATTCTTTTCCCATTCCCACCCAGAGCAGTCGATATGAAGCTCGTCAATTTTTTTTTTTTTTTGCAGTTTAAAAATTTGTTGGAGGCTCTCAAAAGACCTGGGTGGGAAAGTGGTTTTGTGATGTGGACATGCAGTCATTTTGAAATAATGCTTCACGCCAACTGTCTGGGGTTTAGGCTGACGGATTAGGAGACGAAGATCTTGAGATGCCCGATGACCGTGTGTCATACCTGTCAGCGATGGGAGCCGACTACCTTAGCTGTGACAGCCGCTTGATGAGTGACTATGACGACACGGACACCGAGGGAGGAGCCTACACTGACAATGAGCTGGATGAACCACCAGAAGAGCCTCGTATGCCTGCTGTTGGCAGGTCATCCGAACCCGTGCACTTGGAAGAGGTGAGAGTTAATAGAATGCCTATCTATTTTAGCCATGAGCTTGGCTGTCAGCACCCTACTTCGCCTTGTATGTCAAATGTAAAATGGTTATTGTGTCAGCTTGGCTCAGTTGGTAGCACGTTTGACAGAAGGTCGTGGATTCAAGCTTTAAATCGTGACTTTGAGCTCCTAGTCTATCTCGGCTGATATTCCAGTGCTGGGGCAGCGCTGCATTGTCTGAGGTGTGGCCGTTGCAACACAACGTTAAATCCAGGACTCACCACCTGTACCTCCAGATAGAAGTGAAAGATCCCATGACATTACTCAAAAAGTGAATGGTGTCTCTCTTGTTGTCCTGGCCAACAATCCCCCACATAAACCGGTTATTTTATGGATGTCTGTGAGATCTTAGCTGGCACGTGATGTCACAAGAATGCAGATTTTCATTTCTATCTTACATCAGAACCACGTTGCGATGCTTGGGGCACTCTCTGCAATATTCTCCATCAGTACATTGGTGACTGGCAGTTCACAGAAAGAAACCACCATTTGGCACCAGCCACATATGAAATGAGTTGTGACAGGCACAATGCAAGTGGTTTATTTTGAGTAAATCACTGGCTACTTGACATCTGTTACGTTAATACATCATGTCTCTCTCCATGTATTTTTGAAAGACTTCTTTTCCTTTGACCTTGGGGAGACTTTACGGTGCTTTTTGAATGGTGGCCAGAGAGTGACCTGCTTGAAGTCACGAAATATTATAATATTAATAATATGCTAACATAATAATATAATCATATGAATAGAATTTAGGAAAAATGTACATTTTACTTTTTTTATATAAAAGAAAGCATTTGTACGGATTAACTTTTAATTTCTGCTGCAACTTCAGTGCTGGAAGAAGCCAATTTGTACGAAAACAATTGTTTAATTGTGCAAAAAGCATCACGTCTTTAACATTCCTGTCATTTTTAGAGAAGGCCAAGTCCGGAACCAGCTTTAGTGAAAGGACAGATGAGGAGAGCAGGCAGCAGGGAAGTACTGAGAGATTCCAGCCCTCCTCCAGATTTCCGTCCGGAGCCACCAAAGGTAATTTGGACTTTATTTATCAATATCTTACTGACGCTAACGATCCATACTATCCATTGAATTGTAGCATTTGGTTTTAGGAAAACTAATTGACCCTTTATTTCATTTGAATAGTTCATTGGACTCTACCCCACATGAAGGGTGCCATATAAATACAAGTTGTTGTTGTTATCCTTGCACTTGATATAGAACCCTTATGTCTTTAAAACATCTCAAAGCATTTCACAGGATTTACTGCATGATATAATGATTGTATTTTGTAGGAGCTAATTTGCATATGGCAATATGCCACTAGCTGTTATGAAATGAATGACCAATTTTCTATTAAATAGGAAATACACATTCTCTCCCCTTCGGTCTAAAACCAGGAAATGCAGAGTGGCCAAAACTTATTCTGCGATGACATAGATGTGTTTTGCTCATAAATATATGGTCAATTCACTTTACAATCTATTCTGTGAAGCGCTTTGAGTCGTCGAAGACGTGAAAAGCGCTATATCAAATGCAAGAATTATTTATTTTTATTATTTATGTGAAATTGCTGCAATCATGCTTTATCTTAATATAATAATATAAATTTGAACCAATGCCAAAATGTACTCCACCCTTATTATGTCATGAAGACTAAACGATAACTGGGAGTGCACTTTAAGTTACTGTTGTAAACTTGAGTGGTTTACATAAGCCCTTAGAATCTAAAAGACACGAGTCTCTGAAGACCCTCTCAGAGAACTTTTATTATTTCAGAGCCTTCCTATTCCGGTTTAATATAGCTTCTGCCAATAGTACTTCACCACTATTATTGCAGACAGTAATTTTGTTCTTGGTATCGCATGATTGAGGAAAGCATTTTTCTGGTTTAATGTGAATCATAATTGAGCCAGATGAATAAGTAAAGGGCTTTTGCCTTGACATGTAATTCTTTTCTGTTGAAGCATAATTCTGTTGACTCGTTGTTATTGGAGCTTAAAGTGCCACCTGAGAATGTTGGCAGTCTTACGTCTAGGACATTAACAACTTTATATAAATCTGTGTAACAAGGGAGGGTTTAAAGCGCTAAGAATATAACAATGATTTAAGGTTCATATTTTTAACAAAAATTTCAATGCTTCACTGAATTGTGGGTTCAAGATCCACATGAGGACTTGGAGCTCAGGCTGATCTGATATTCCAGTGCAGTGCTGGGGAAGCATTGTCAGAAATGCCGTTCTTTGAATGAGATGTTAAACCAAGAACCTTTCTGCCTGTCCTTGGATGCATGTTAAAGATTTCCATAATTCAATTGGAAAAGAGTTTTTTTTTAAAGAAATGTTTAATCCCGCCCAACAGTCTCCAGTTTAATGAATCAGGTCTTTCACCTTGTGATTGCTTGTCAGATTTTGTTGGCACAAAATTAGTGCTGCATTTCTGTCTACAGACACGCATTCTTAACATCCAGGCTTGACTGTGGAAACTTCCTGCTTGTCAGTCTCCCCAATAATAATAATCCTTGCATTTGATATCGCACTTTTCACGTCGGGAGGACGTCCCAAAGCGCTTCACAGAATATACTGTAAAGTGAATTGACTGTATATTTGCGGGCGAACGCGGCAGCCAATTGCGCACAGCAATGTCCCACAAACAGTCGTAGATTGAAAATGACCAATTTATTATTGTTTTTTGTTTTTTGGAGGGATTATTATTAGGCTCTGTGTGGAGTAAGGAAACTTGCCCAAGGTTTCGCCCTGCCTGGAATTGAACTCAGGTCTCTCACTTGTAAAGCGAGTGCTCTAACCACTGAGCTACAGACTCCACAAACTCCTCCCTCCATAGGCTGTAGATCATCCAGAACTCTGCAGCCCATATTCTCTCCCACCCCAGGCTCCGTGACACTTTGAATCACAAAAAGGATATAGTTCTAGATACTGGTCCTCACCTTCAGAGCCCTCCATGGCCTTGCTACCCCCTACCTCTGCAACCTCATACCCCCTACCAACCTGCCTGCTTCTTCCGCTCAACGGGCTCCAGCCTGTTTCACGTCCTCTGCCTCGCCCGCCCCACATTGGTGAGCAGGCCTTCCGCCACTCTGCTCCACCCTCTGGAGTTCCATCCCGCAGGCCCTCCGCCTCACCCCCTCACAAATTGGACTCCACATTGATTCCACATTGATTGTCAAGTGCCCTGGGTCACCCTCCCGACACGAAAGGCGCTAAATAAATCCAATTTTGTTGTTGTACAGAAAACTGGATTTGACCACAGTGGCTTTAAAGTGCTTTCAGACATTCAACTTAAAAACGCTATAAAATATGAAATCTTTCTCTCTTACAGAATGTCTTTGACTGGGATGATCTGTGGAAAATTGTATTTTTATGAACTTTAGTTTTATCTGATTGATTCTTGTTCTTTGAATTATCTGAAGGCCAAAGCGCAAGAACTCCCTCGACAGTATTACGACGCCAGCCGTGGATACGAATCCAAATCTAGCAGCCAGAGCCCTGCCAGCAGTGAGCATCCCCGGGGTCAGGAAGTATCGTCAGCCAAGCCATTACCTCCTCCAGTCGCTTCCAAACCAGCTCACGGAGTCCGAGTTATGGTCAAACCACCTCCTCCATCGGAGGACCAAGAAGAAGAGGAAGAACAGGAAACCGAAGCTCCGGACCAAAGTGGCAAAGTGAAGTCTGTGATGGGCAAAGTCAAAATATTTGAGAAACTGGACCACAAAGCTCGGGCTAAGAGGCTGCAGGAACTGCATGAAGCACAGATGGCAAGAGTAAGCAGTAATGGTGCAGCTCCTTCTCTATAGAATGTTGATTTGCATTTGGTATTTGATCCCTTGTCAGAATTCAAATTGACCTTTTAAGGAATTTTAGTAATAACCTGAAAATCTCATGTACATATGTGCGTGTGTGTGTGGAACACAGCAATAACCTGAAAATAACAAGTGTCTATGCAGAAAGTAGTAAAATTCTGAAGAACAATGCTTGTACACAAAAGCCTGCACATTTTGACATACTGTACTTGTAGATTGCACAAAGATTTTGTGTCTTCATGGGATTCTTTGTTGTTCTGAAGGATAAAGCTATGAAATCAGCTTTGAGTTTTGATTGACTTAAGTGTGTGTGCTATCCAATGTTGCCTCGCCATAAATCATCCAGCTCTAATGAGAGAGCAACCTCCTTTTGAGCAAATTACCACTCAAATTACTTTTGAGTGGTAATTTGCTCAAAAGAAATAATGAATTATTTTCAAATTTGTTTTTAATATTTGTAGCCTTTTGTGAACGCAACACATTGTGGTTACTGTCTGCTAGTTTTCCCCCGTTCCTGTGCCTTCCACTTTCTCCATGCTGTATCTCCACATGTGATGATGTGCTGTTGCCATCTGCTAGATTTAGAAGTTTCCGGGGGAGTGAAAGTGGTTACAATTAATTATCGTGATTTGAGCTCACAAGATGAACCAGCCTGTTCATCGAGCGGACTTGTGAGCATGAGATTGCTTTATTGACCTTGTTGAAGCTTGCTCAGCAACCTGTCTTGCACCCCCAAACCCACTTGCTGGGAACAGACTGGTTCTGTGTGGGAGTTTAATGATGACAGTAAATGATTTTCGATCAGTTGAACAGTGGGCTCCTATTATAGTCACCCAGCTTGTCTGCCCTTTGTTTAAATAAATAGGATTTGTAAAATGGCAATATCCATCCAGGTTTCACTTCAGCACCGTCCTGAGAAACATTGACGACAATAACATTTTGCAGTGAAATGATTTCTTAAAAATAGGTCAGTTCTTTTCTTTAAGATTAATTGCCAAGTTGGCACTCTGTCCAAACTGAGTATTTAGAGGGAAATAACCTATGCGTCGGAATGAATGTAAGTGCCCCTATCTGTGAGTTTTAATCTAAAGGTGTGTACAGTGGTTTAAGAACGTATGGTTTTGAGTGTAGGCAGTTAACTCACTGCCTGGTAAACTTCCGCCAAGCTGACCATCCTCTTTCTGTTTACAGATGGAAATTGCTCAGAAAAATCCTGACATTTATGCTGTTCCAGTGAAACTACCTAAGCCTGAGCCACGGACGCAGCCCACAAGGTAGGAGGTTGTTCAGAAGAATACTCTACTTCTAATGACTACTTGCATTAAAATTCTTTTACTTTGGACAATTGTTTTGCTAATGAGAGTGCTTGATGTCTGTTCTGAGGAATGGAACATTTATACTCTTGGATCCAACAGTATCATTGAAACTCCTTCAGTAGGTACAGCACCGGCTGACACAATGTGGCGTTTCTTCTCTACTGAACCAACAATATGCTGTAATTGCACCACTGTGTTGAAATGTCAGCTTAGACTATATGCGGGGTTTGAACCCACAACTTTCTGCCTCAGAGTACTTCCAACTGAACCAGGATGAATCTTGCCGCTTGAGGATTCAAGACCCATATTAGGACATTGAGTTGATAATCTAGATGCTATTCTTTGGATGAGATGTTAAACCAAGGTCCTGTCCGCCTGTTCAAGTGGATGTTAACGATCCCAAGGCACTACTCGGGGAAAAAAAATGCAAATTTCTCCCAGGGTCCTGGTCAACGATCCAAATAAAATTAATTTCATGGCTTTTTGTGGAGCATTACTATGCACAAATTGACTACTGCATTCGACTATAGATGAGCATTTAGAGGAGAAAAAAACAACCCTGGGAAGCACATTGACTCGTTTTGACATGACAAGGGCTATATTCTCAAACCACATCGTTGTTCAGTAATCCGCCGCTACCCAGCATAAAAGATGCTATTTAAATGCAAGTTGTTGTGTATCAAATGCAGTGATTAGTATAATTGTACGCTGCAACCTAAGCCCATCATTATTCAAACCTAGGTTAAAACTCACAAATGTTAGAAAAGGTAAGACTTTCAAGCCGGAAATCTGAACTGGATTTAAACAGAAAATCCAGGGGTTGATATGTTAGCATGTTAACCTACTGCCAATGTCTCCCTTGTCCTCTTCAAACAAATTGAAGACTAGCCTTCAAATAAAGTATGAATTTAGAAAAGGCTGCAATGCTCAAGTATACAGAGTTTTAATATTTATGGAGTGATCGCATTTTATCAGCATATTTGTTCTAAGAATTTGTGACAAAACAAATCACCGAATATAAAACTAATCCTGCTGCCAATGTTCCTTTTTTTTAATAAATCTGTGTTTTTCTTTTAACTTTTTTCAGCATTGTGCAGTCTTTTTTTCCCTTTTTTGCTGTCCTTAAGGTTGGAGCAACTGAATGATTTAATCAAAAGGCAGACTGCCACTGTGCAAAACTAAAATAACATTATGGTACATAAGTATTTCGAGAGAGATGTGCATGCGACCACCAGGAAGATGGAAGGAAAACTAGATGGACGTTTTTTTCATTGAGCAATTCTTATGTTAAGATGTGCTGGTTGTGTCCTCGCTTACAAATCCCAAGACCGGAGATTTCAGCCATTGGCAGGCAGCCAGTCCATCTGGTAATCTAGAGGAGACTGAATGTTCATTTTAAGAGATAAGACTCTTGAAAATTCGCAATATCTTACTCTTAGGATCATTAAGAAATGGACAACAACTAGATAAGTACTAAAACGAGAAAACTACAGGGATATGGAGAAAGGACAGGCACCTGGGCCTGAAAGGATTGCTTTTAATGGAGGCCACACAGACACGATGGGCTGAATGTCTGCTGTCTCTGCTGACTTTTATGGTTCTAAAACCAGCAAATTCAGACTGAATGTAAGACTGTTCCAATGTTCTGCACCATTCTAAATTTTAAGAACATGAGAATTTCTGGCCTCTGATGTGCTTCGCTAAACAGTTGGACTTATCTGGATCTTCTACCACGTTGCTGTGCTGCTATTGTTTATTCCATGTTTCAATTTATCACTCTCTTTGTAAATTTTCTGCAGATAATATCTGAAAGATCTTTGCAACTAATACACCAGAAAAGGGGCACTCTTAACAGTTGCGTAAAGTGCCAATTGTGCAATGTTCTATGGAGAAATAAACCATCTTTCTCTTTTTCAATGTATAATTGTTTATGACAGGGGGTGGTGGGGGCGAGAAGAGCAAAGTACATTTCCCTGGTGTGGCAGGGTCAAATTGAGTTCAGATACTCTTTCACAAAAAAAATCTTTAAGGGCATGTCAGCCACAAGCTGCTCACATGTACCCCCTAGTGGCTACCTACAGATGAGTGTTACCAGAGGCCTAGAATAAGTGAGATGCTTTTCCTCTTGAGTAATAAATAATGTGAGAGAATTATAAAAAGGAAGAAAAATGAGGGTGGAGGCAAAGCAGAAGGCAATAGAGAAATATATACAGGTACAATTATTTTAGTTAGCTAGACATGTTCAATAGCGTTGATTTTCTTTGATGGAATAAGCCATTCATTCTTTGATTTTCATTCCCCATGTGTTATTTTTGCATCCCTTCAAATAAACATTGACCTTGTTTCTATTCCTAGCTCCAGGCCCCCTGAGCCTCAGAAGCCTCCGTCGCAACCTTATCATGATCCCAATCGTGGAAGTTACAGCACTGAGGACGATGAAGAGGAGGAATATCGCAGGCAACTAGCAGATCATTCAAAGCGAGGTTACTATACCCAGTATGGAGCACAAACAACTAAGTACAGAGATACAGAGTTGTAGGAGAGTGATTGACTGTGGAACAATGAGTCTAATGTATGATGGTCACAAAATAATTTGCAAAAAAAAAAGGGTGTCGGGTGCTAATTGGGATTTCAGTTTTAATGACGAATTTGCAAAACTTTAAATGGAATATCAGAAATGAGCGGAAAGGCAAAACAGGCTGGAGTTCAAAACGGAGCAGACTCCCTTATTTTGTACTTTGATCATTTTCAGAGATTGCAATTAGCCATTTTGCAAATCACAAATTAAACAGTAAAATGGAATTAGCACTACCATTTAGCAAATATTTAGAGAGTATTGTAAATTAGACCTCAATTATACTTTTTGTACTTTACCATAATAATCGGACTGCCTTTATGCGTTTTCAGCTAGTTATAGCTCACAATGAAAGCAATAGTGTTACAACATAAGACTACTAACTACATTATGCTGTAATTACCTTGTTCGAAAACTACAAATTTTGGATAGAAACACAAAGTGCCTTTTCCTTTTTGAACAAAATAAACTTTTTTTTAAGATAAGACTTGGTGGAAGTAATGACATTGAAGTTTTGTTTTGATTGATTTTCTTGTGTGAAAAGTTCTCATGATATAATGTTCTTGTGGGGAGCAGCAAAAGAAACAGTCATTTTATATTACATTTACAATTAATTTCCGTCTCTTCAGTAGCCTATCACAGCTAAAGTATACTGATTTTGTATATAAATGCTGCTGTTGCTGTATTAATTGCAAAGCTTTTGTACAATACAGCTGAAGTTAAACGTGTCTGTATATGGAGGATGTTGTTGAGCCAGGTTGTATTTCTGCTTCACCTCCCACTCCTGGCATTTTAGCTTCCAAGAATAAAGCAATCTTTGTTTCATTTTTTCATTGTTCTTGATATGTTGGTGCACAAATAAAATTGAGATGCATCCCAGGCTTACCAACTGGTATTTTTCTCAGATGATAAATCAGATATTTATTAATAATTACGTAGAGGTTATAATTTGAACTACTGCACATAGATTAATACATTCTCTAGATATGTAGGCAGAAATAGGACGCTGATCTTGTCTTGCGTGAGCCAAATCGGCATATAGGAATCCACTCAGCTGTTATTTCAGATTGTCAAGTTTCTAACACAAAGGCCTTTCTAATTTGTTGCTGCCCTTTGTTAAGACAGATAGCTCACATCAATGACTTGTGCACCCTGCCCATTGGTCTAACGTCTTTTTCAGTGACGGTTACAAATGACTGGTACCTTTATTTACTCCCAATGTTGCATGCTTTTCAGAATTGCACAGCCTGTTTCAGTCTCTGAACAGGAATGTGCAGGAAAGTGGATGTTGGTGGAGGGTCGGGGGGAAACCATGTTTGATACTCCACGGGTTCACTGAGGCCAACGGGGTATAACATCCATTCGGTGTTGCATGTATCATCCAAGGCGATGTTAGACACTATATGGATTTTCCATTATAACTGCCCTTCACCACAGGTGCTGCATGTAATGTTGAACTGGAACATGTATCCCTACGAATGCAAGAAAAGTATGTACTCTAGGTTAAAGAACCAAGCAGAAAATCGAAGCTGAGCTGTTTTCATCAAACCCTTTAGCCAAATCACAATTTCGTTGCACTTGCAGCCTGAGGTGAAGGTTTTGGGGATCCCGCCAGCGTTCCTACAACCTCTTACAAAAGTGCAGCTTTACATTCCATTGTTACAAGGTTACATGGTTCTAAATAAATTCTCCTTCAGGACCAAAGTAACAAATACAGAGCAGCCCTACACACACACACCTATATTGTACAGTATCCTGGTGATGGTGACCTCTGCTGTTCAACTAAATTGATCGGATTCTTAACTTTAAAAAAAACTTCAATTTATTCACATGCCTCAAAGTGACAATCCCTCCATGCCCTCGCACCTCCCTACCTATCCGATTTGCTTACCCCCCACCCACTCCACCATCAGCTGGCTCCGGCCTCCTGTTTGTCCCCTCCACCATCAGTGGCTGTGCCTTCAGCCGCTACGCCCTGAAACTCTGGCACACTCTCCCTCAATCCCTCCGCCCTGACCCCGATTTCCCCACTTTCAAATCCCACCGAAAGACCTTTGTTAATGTGCTTATGGTCACCTTGCCCCTCCCTCTCCCCCTGGCTCTGGGTCAGACTCCGCCACTGTCAAGTGCTCCATGATACTATACCATGTGAAGGGTGCTAGATAAATGCAAGTTGTTGTTGACTTTTCAGAGTTCTGCAAGCCTAGAAATGTAGTTCTCTCTACTGAGACCAGGATTGGTGTGAAACCTGGTAATGTGATCTGAGAAAAGAATATAGTGTTGCAGCATAAAGTTTGATCCTCATCATCAGCCTACCTCTACTAGATTCAGTGCACTCATAAACATTATAAGAAAAATATTTTTGGGGAAAAATGTATAATGTTTTATAAAACCAGTTGGCATGAGTTTGGAGAAATAATCCTTCAGATGAGACATTAAACCAAAGCCATGTTTGCCTGGGAAGGTGGACATTAAAAATCCCATAGCAGTATTCAAAAAGAGAAGGGAAGTATCGCAATAATAAGAGACTCAATAAAAATACAAGTTTATTCTTTGTGGTACTTTGACATTCTGTTGTAGTCTGTTACAAAGGCTGTGCTTTTATCTCTGGGATCCTCGTGTCCTTAGAGACTAAATAGAATGTCCACTGCCTTACTCAAGGGAATTCAACACATTAATTTGAGTTGGCACTTTTTTGTTTCTCAGAAATATTGGTAATTTTGCTATCAAGGGTGTTGCGCTTTTTGTGCCACTTCAATATTATTCAAATTACAGAACATTTTGCGATGTGGAAGCTTTTCCAAGAAATGAGAGATTCTGACAATCTTTGAAACTGTTTCTTCCAAAAGGGATTAAAAGCTACATTCTGCGAATGGCAATAGCAACATTTGATATTTGTCTATTGACAATTCTGATGCATTTGAACTATTAATTCCAGAATGACAAGGCTGTTCAGGCTTCAAAGATACAATACAATTAACATTTATATACTCCAGTGCCTCTCACATTGGGAGGACATTCCAAAATACATGATTGAACTTACAGAGATACAAAATTAAATTGTATAGAGAAAATAAACAATATTTTCAATACGCCAAGGCAGCAGGAGAGCAAAGGGTTCAGATTCAAAATTGCAAAAGGGCAATTTCAGGGCAGATACCAGGAATTATTTATTTATACACAGAGGGTATATAATAGCTGGAATGGGGTTACCAGTAATAGCGGTCGAGACCAGGACACTGGACTTATTTAAGAAACGGCTTTGTGCTACGATGGTGTGACAATAGAGGTCAAATGAATCAAAGGAACTTCTTCATCAAATTAAATCATCATTTGAAATCACCACTTGTCAGACCCAGGTATCAGTTATTGCCTACCATAATGTTACATTTTGTATATGGTTTGTAGTTGGTTTATATCCTTTGTTAGGCCAGCCCCTGGAATAATGCGTATGCATTGTATTATTAATGCATTACAGCATCCACTCTTGACAATTGTGATATATGTACTTCAGGTTTACTGAACATTGATCTGAAGCCAATTATCAGGAAATTCTGCACTCTTGCATTAGCAGATTTTTCACTTCAACAGCAGCAACAACTTGCATTTATATGGAAGGTTGCAAATGTTTCTCCCCTGTACAAAAAGGGGCAGAAGGATAAACCTGAGAACTACAGGCCAATCAGCCTAACATCAGTAGTAGGGAAACTTCTGGAGACTATAATCCGGGACAATATAAATCTCACTTAGAAAATTATGGTTTAATAAAGGACAGTCAACACGGATTTTTTAATGGCAGATAGTGTCTGACAAACCTAATAGAATTTTTTGATGAAGTGACTGAGAGGGTGGATGAAGGTAGTGCAGTTGACATAGTTTATCTTAATTTTCAAAAGGCATTTGACAAAGTGCCACATAATAATAATAATAATCCTTGCATTTGGTATAGCGCTTTTCACGTCGGGAGGACGTCCCAAAGCGCTTCACAGAACACACTGTAAAGTGAATTGACTGTATATTTGTGGGCGAACGCGGCAGCCAATTGCGCACAGCAATGTCCCACAAACAGTCATAGATTGAAAATGACCAATTTATTATTGTTTTGTTTTGGAGGGATTATTATTAGGCGTGTGGAGTAAGGAAACTTGCCCAAGGTTTCGCCCTGCCTGGAATTGAACTCAGGTCTCTCACTTGCAAAGCGAGTGAGACGTATAAATAAAATAGAAGCCCACAGTATTAAAGGGACCGTGGCAACATGGATCCAGAACTGGCTAGGAGACAGAAAGCAGAGAGTGGTAGTAAACGGTTGCTTTTCTGACTGGAGGGAGGTATGTAGTGGTGTCTCTCAGGGGTTGGTATTGGGACCACTGCTCTTTCTGATCTATATTAATGATCTGAACCTGGATATAGGGAGCACAATTTTCAAATTTGTAGATGATATTAAGCTAGGAAAAGTAGCTAATGGGGAGGAGGATAGCACCAGACCCCAAGAGGACTTAGATTGGTAAAATGGACAGAAACGTGGCAGATGAGGTTTAATGTGGAGAAATGCGAAGTGTTGCATTTTAGTAAGAAGAATGAGGAGAGGCAGTATAAGCTACAATCTAAAAAGGGGGCAAATGAACAGACCTGGGGGTCCACATAAGTAAATCTCTGAAGATGGAAGGACAGGTAGATAAAGCTGTTAAAAAAGCATATGGGTTACTAGGTTTTATAAACAGGGACATAGAATTCAAAAGTCAGGAGGTTATGTTGAATATTTATAAAGTGCTGGTTAGGCCTCAGTTGGAATACTGTGTTCAGTTCTGGGCACCGCACTTTACGAAAGATGTTAGGGCATTGGAGAGGGTGCAAAGGAGGTTTACCAGAATGGTATCAGGAATGAAGGACCTTAGTTATGAGGAGAGGTTAGCGAAACTAGGATTATTCTCCCTAGAGCAGAGAAGATTAAGAGGGGATTTAATAGAGGTTTTCAAGATCATGAGAGGAGTTGATAGGTTGAACCGGGAAAAACTGGTATGTGGGTCAGTAACCTGAGGACACCGATTTAAGATAGTTGTTAAAAGAAACAGAGGGGGATTAAGAAAAATGTTTTCACCCAGCGAGTTGTTCCGATCTGGAATGCATTACCTGAAAGGGTAGTGGAAGCCGATTCAATAACAACTTTTAAGAGAGAAGTAGATGGATATTTGGGGTGGACAGGATTGCAGGGCTATGGAGAGAAAGCGGGCCAGTGGGATTGAGTTGGATTGCTCTTTTCGGAGTCGGCGTAGACACGATGGGTCAAATGGCCTCTTTCTGTGCTGTATGATTCTATAATTCTATGATATAGCGGCCTTCATGCGGGGCATCCTGAAGCGCTTGACAGTGGCGGAGTCCGAACATGAGAGGGAGGGGGAGGTGACCATAAGCATGATCAAAAAGGAAGGTCTTCAGGCGGATTTAAAAATGGGCAGGAAGGGGACAAGGCAGAGGGATTGAGGGAGGGATTTCCAGAGTTTTAGGGCATAATGGCTGAAGGCATGGCCACTGATGGTGGAATGGTGGGCACGAGGGACAAATATGAGGCCGGAGCCAGACGTGCAGTGGCAACGAATGTTGGAGTGGGGAGTAAGCAGGTTGGATAGTAGGGAGGTACGAGGGCATGAAGGGATTTGAAAACAAGTGAGAGGATCTTGAAATCAATCCATTCGGTAATTGGAAGCCAGTGGAACCTGGTAAGGACTGGTGTGATGTAAGTACGGAGTACTGTCCAGGTGAGTATGCGGGCGGCAGAGTTTTAAATTAGTTGAATTTTGTGTATGTTGGAGCTGGGGAGACCAGTA